CGGACTTCAGCCTCATGACTCTTGTGCATGAAAGAAAGAGGAGAAAAATTATTTACAAAATGGATTTTACAATCTACGAAACTGAGTATACAGAGAATTGTGTATAATTTACCATTCATTGGGGGTGTATTATTCAAAATTAAGAATAATCCATTCTCTAACTTTGACTTTTTGCCAAATCCTGCGGATGCTTCGTAAATCCGATGAGAAAAGAATAATAAATCAGAGAAAGAATCTTATAATGAAAAAAGTAGAAATGGTATGTCTTCATGAATATGGTTATAGCAGAGCAGGTAAGGCAATAAAAATTATTTTTAAACCACATAAATAAGGGATTATTTCTCTCGAAAGTAAAATGAAAAGTTGAAACATGTTTAGGACCACGTGGACATAGTTAGATTTGTAAAAGTTTTAAACGTAACCATTAAGATACCTGGGTTCTTTTTTAACTTTATTGATCTAGCGTAGGTTTTCCTGAACACTCGAAAAAAAAACCTTGCCAACCCATTTGCAAGGATCCTACACTATTTTATCTTTCTTGGGTACCTACCCATTTATTACCTACTATACTGTTAAAAATTCCAATATTTTGCCCAAAACACTGAAAAAACTCGATCTCAAATTGAGTAACAATCTGACTCAATTTGAAAAGCATCAAAAATGAGTAAGGCAGATGACACAACGTTCTATGTTATTTAACGTATAGACTCATTTTGAGATGCAACAAAAATAAGTCCAAGTTTTTTCTGTAAAAGATTAAGAATTATAGTTTCAATCTCGAAAAGTGTGAATACTTTCATTTAATTGGATTTATTAAAGACTTTCAACCAATGAAACTTCAATCTTTTTGGAGTAAAGTTGGAGTCAAATTTTGAACAGTGTACCAAAATAGGCACAGTTAGTTAAAATGACAACACTGCAAAAATGTGGTGAATAATACAGGATAAACTTCAGAAATTTAAAAATAAATACTTAAAATTTATGAAGTTTATCCTGTATTATTCACCATATTTTACAGAACTCATCCGTTTCCTAAATGTCTGTATCTGTTAATCCTGAACGTTCTGTAAAATTCGCCGAATTATTTTCTTCCGTAAAAAGTTGTCCTTTTTCATACGAACGTACACAAATAGCGGGTCCTCCCGATTAGTGATCGAAGAACCGGTTATAACTTTTTTTAAGCTAAAAATAATCGTCAAATAAATCAAAAATTAAACAATTTTATATCATAATTTTCGTAGGAACTTTTTTGTAATCTTTATAAAAATACGAAATGCTTACAAGAAATTAAAATTTAGAATCCTTTTTTAATTTCGAAATGGAAAAATTTAGAGTCTCAAAATATTATAACCGGTTCTATGAACTCCGACCCTCAATAGTTTTATTTAAATTTTCTAGGAAAACAAAATAACCTCACTATATAACGCTCGTTCATTTTTGTCCAACATAAATGTTTAGTTATTAACCTTTAAACTGATAGGTGTCAAAAAATAACGCTAACCGATTACTCGGTCAGTCAGACCCCTATTCCTTGTTTATATTTTTCTAGTGGTTTTAAATTATGTTAATAATACCGCCATAGTAACAATTTAATAAATATTTACTATTTTTTCATTATATTTGTAAATTGTACTTTATGAAAAAGTTATAAGGTAAAAAAAGTTTATAGACAGTCTCAGTTTTTAAGGAAATAGAAAAAAATTCTCAGATTCAATTGCTTTTTTTTACCGAAACAAAAATTTTTAAAGGATGATGGAGGGGGGGGGGGGTTAAGCTATTTTTGTTAGTTCAGCAACGGCCACTAGCTCAAATTAATCTTGATTAAATAATGTAGAAATAACGAATAATGTAAAGAATAATAAATAGTTCGGTAAAATTTGACCTATACAATAAAATTAATATTGCGTCTAATCACAAATAACTTCAAAGTGTATATCTTCAAATATTCGGTCATTACTTTTATACAAATTTTACTCAGTTTATTTATAATATTATTTATTTATTTTCGAAATTTGAATTACAGTGTCACTAATTCTCTCTAAATCTAAACTAAGTAAAAATAACTAATTGTTAGTAAAATCGTGACCGACTTCTACTTCAGTAATTAGTTAAAAAATTACATAATTATCATAGTAAATAAATAAGAAAATAGTCAAAGTTTACAAATTTATTTTGTAACCAAAAATTCTACTAGAAACAATTTAAAACTGAATTAAACTAATAGTACATCCAAAAATTCTAGTTATTTTTACATAACCTAAAAGTGAATTTAACTAATGGGAAAAAATAGTTAAATTGTGGGAAAAAATTGTTAGTTATTTTAAAATAATCTAAAAGTATGAATTTTGGTAATAATTAGTCACTAATTAATTAGTTGAAAATAATAATTAATTCAGAGACTGACTTTTTATTATCATTCCGAATCAGTGACAGACATTTTATTATCAAATTAGTTATTTTTAACTAATTCAAATTTAGAAAACTCGCCGTGTTTAGGCCGATTTAAATCAATTGGTATTCTTACAATTAATTAAATAAATTTAATATTTTTTGTTAAATTAATTAATTAACTGATTAATTAATTAGTTAATAATGAATTAATAACGAAATGATATTTAAAAGGAAATAATAAATTGTCCATTTGGTTACAAATGTAAAAAAAAATTTTACGTTCTGTTTCGGTGAATTTATCGTACGCACAAGGCAACTTCAATTGTACATTCCTAGCGTGCGCAGAACTCACTCTTGAGTTCAACGCGCAAGTGATGATGCAATTGAAGTCCCATATTAGCAGACGATTTTCAATATATATAACCAAAAAAAGAAAAAATTAATTTTTATTGAAAATTAATTTCCCCCTCCCCCTAAAAATTTGTTTTATTATTTACTCTCAAAATGCAGTATTGATAAATTCTCTTTTTGTAACGAATTCATAATACCAATTTTTTTTTAACAAGGGCACCGAATTTTAATGAGTTTGTTTAAAGTTTTTTTCTTAAAGGATTAAAAGTTTAAGTTATTTGGAGATATAACTTTTGAAGTTATTTCCTTTCTGAACGTTTGCTGAAAATATTAAAATTAATAAATTAGTAGGAAAAAATAATTTGAAAATATTCGTTTTTGGTAATTAGTACAAAAAGTACTATTTAAACGATTTCAACCTCTCATAACCTTAAAATTAATTCGTGATTTAATCTAAAGATATTGTCTTATAATAATTAAATACAATTAAAACAATTTTTTTGTTCCATGCCGATAGATACGTATAAAACGTATAAAACACAATAGGTTTCAATGTTATTTTCAATCAATTTGTAATATAATATGCGAAGAACTCACCGCACGGATATGTTGAATATCACAGTTGCACAAAAAATGAAATATACTAAAGAATTATATATTATGACTATAATTAAATAAAACTTATATTTCTCTAGAATATTCGGAGGTCACAGATCTTTGTGGCTTATAATTTAAAAGAAGCGTAACGCTGCATAGCACCACAGAGTGCACCATATATATTAACTAGTATGACTCTGACAATACAGCGTTGCCGGATCTAGAAAATGTTTAGCGTCCCTCCAACACTTTTTTCTTAAAATGCTTAAAATCATTATAAAGGGGATAAAAATAGAAAATTACTACCAAAAAAAAATAGTAGTAAATTGATGGTAAAAATTATTCACTAAATTATTCATATATTTTCCAACGAAATTGCGAAAATAGTTAATAGTTCGAAAAATTGTTCTGGAAAATTTGTAACTTTCCTTGAAAATCTAGTGGCAACAGTGTAAAAGTTTATCGTAAAGAGGGGCGCTACATACGCGTTCAACATGGAGTTCAGCAGCAGGGAGACAAAGAAAATGATCGTATCGATTTATTGAATTATTGTTATATGCGAATAAATTGTTTTTTGCGCAATAAAAATGCGAGTCATTTTTGGCTATTTGTGCGGGTACATATTTTTCATACGAAACGAGAATTTAGGGTAACTTTTATATTATTTAAAATAAGTTAAACGTAAAAAGTGTACTGCGCATTTCGGCTTTTACTTTATCTTTGAACCAAATATTCAAATACTAAAACAACCAAAACCAAATAATATTGTATAAAAACCTAATCTTTAGGTTATTTTAAACTTTGTTTAAGTCAAATAAATATTTCTCTGTGATATAAATAAACATTTGGTTAAGTTTAATAAATTTTGTATTTCGTATTATTGGCATATTCGAACAAAGAGTTTGGTTATCTGAAGAATATTTTCAGTTGAACCAAATGTTTGGTTATGTTTATTTGGTTGATTCAACCATAAAATTTGGTTGTTTCAAACAAATTTTTTTCTGAGTCTTCTATACAGGAACTTTTACTATTTCCGAAGTAAATTTTAATTAAGTTTTACGAACAAAGAAAGAAATTACTAAAATATTTAGCAGACATAAATCTACTGATTTTTTAGTCTGATACTAATTTTTTAATTAACATAACCTAACAATTAATTAGTATTGTTGCTAATTCATTTAATAAACGAGAATCGGAACTATTGAATTAAAGACCAATACAAATTTAGAGCAGTGTTGCCAGATGGGAAGATTTTCCTTCAAATCTGAAGAAAATTAAAGCGACATTTAAAGAATTTGAAGAAATATTATAAATACTTGAAGATTTTTTGATATCTGAATTTTAGAGACTATTATGGTAAAATTTAACAGTGGAATTGTTAAAAATTTGGGTTTTGAAAATTTTGAACGAAATATTTTTTATTAATATTTGAAATCGTTTTCATAAATTACTGCTTGCAATAAAAATTGAAGTTTTAAATATCACATTATTGATAGTAATTTTTTATTAATTTTCTTGATAATGAGGCAAAATAGTTGTAAATAAAAATTTAATTTCAAGATAAGAAATAAATAAATTTCGTTCATTTGAATGTTCAGAACTTTAGGATCATTTGAATATTAGGGAATGTAAAATATGTAAATTAAAAAGCAAAATATAAATAATATTCATAATTAATCTTTATTAAATGTTTGTACCAATTTGTTTAACAATCCTTTCTGCTCTATATCCATAAAACTCCACAATTCACCTTCTAATTCCACTAAAGCCTGATAATCACGAGATTGACAGGCTAACACTAAAGATTGCAGCAATAGCATTTCATTTTCGCCCATTCTGAAGCCTGTAACAAAAGTTATTCTAAATTGAAAATTTTTGAAACTACCTGTGTAATTTATAGATATTTGTTATATTTACAATTGTGGAATTTATATTAATTAAAATTACTAATTAATTACTTTTCTGAACATTACATGATTGGGTGATTTTTCTAAAAGTGCGCTTTTGAATCTGTCGAAATCAACCGAACCGATTTTAAAAACCAATAACCATTTAATTCTTCATCTAAAAAACTAGACAACAAACCTCGTAAATTTTTACAATAACTATAATACATTTTTTACAATAAGAGTTTAAAAAAGTGTGTTTTTTTTAAATCAATTCTTCAACTTGAAAACTGACTATTTCGTACCAAATTAAGAAGATTAAAAAACTAATTTGCTTCAAAATTCAAAGAAGAAATATAGTGAAAAATCAAAGTTCAAATGGTGCACTTTCAGAAGATTCACAGTAATTTAGTAATTAAAATTAGTTTACCGATATTAGAATTTTCTTCTATCCAGGCATATTTTTCCAAAACTTGAGCTTGCGAAGGTGACAATCTTTGTGGAGTTGGTTGCAAAATCAGCAAAAGCAATACTCTCGTAATTTCACACCTGTAGAGAAAAGTAAATTTTTCATTAAAGCATTTATTCTTTTTGGTCAAAAAAAAAATAAATAAACTTACAAAATGAATTATAAAAAAAATGGTAAAATTGTAAAAAATTGTAAACAAAATTGTAAACAAAATTGAAAAACCTTTGCAAAATTGACATGTAACTTCCGGATGTTCTTGCACTGACATTATTTGCCGTTAAAAACTCGACCAATTCCGTTAAAACTTGAAGAGCACTGGCATAATCACCTAATGGTAAATTAATTCTGATTTAAATACAGTAAACAAATATTGTACAATGCCTCAAAATTAATCCTAACAGAAAATACATTTCACACAATTATTCAGTTTTGATGACATTCTGGTCTTAAATTTTTCTTATAAAGTCCCTACAACAAAAGTACCAAGATTTTCGTCAAGAAAATTCTTTTTTTGCCATACTCCCTTTTTTTGGCCACTTTGATATTAAAATATTAAAATAGAAAATAAACTCTTACCTTGCTTAATATAATAGGACGAAAGTGTATTAATTGCCCTTAATGTTGGATGAATTTCGATGGATTTACGCAAATTTGGAATGCCATTAATATCCAAAGCAGATGCCAATTCCATTGCTAGACTTGCGGACATCATACTGAAACCTTCTTGACTTTGACAGCGTGTCAATGCATGTCCAAAACAATTTATTGCGGCCTGATGAGAATTTAAAAAAATTTTTTATTGAGAAAACGTTTTGAACGTTTTGACAAAAAGCAAATCAAAAATATTGCGAAGCAAAGTTTTTATAAGAAATCGAGACAAAAAGCGAATTAAAAATATTACGAAACAACGTTTTGATATCAAATTGAAACAAAAAGCGAATCAAAAATATTGTGAAGCAAAGTTTTGATAACAAATGGAGACAAAACACGAATTATAAATGTTGCGAAGCAAAGTTTTGATATCCTTAGATTATAAATTGTGTTTAGATTTACTTCCAAATAATCGTCTCTAAATTTAAAATAACAAAAGAAATAAAGAGGGAAATTTTTAATGAGAAAAAAAATGAGATTCATTTTTAATCGAATTGGAAATAATAATAATAATAATATTTGGAAAAGAAATAATTCTCACCTGCAAGTTCTCTTGTCCTGAATAGGAACATCCGCTTTGATTATTTTTATTTTTAGCAGTGATAAATGATCGTCCTGATTTTATTAAGAAATTTATTTCCGTCAAAACATTTCCTAATGTGCCTTGACAACGTGCTGCCGCTAACCAACATAAGCCAGCATATTGATACAATTCCTTTTGCTCACATTCAACTGCCAAATTGTCTGGAAAATTTTTTTCAAATTTTAGATATTATTTTAAAATTATTTAATTTAATGGCAAAAATATTTCTGTCTCTAAAATAAAAATGTTAATCTCTCTCTGAATATACATTTCATATTTAATTTGTAATTAGTTATTAAACGTATAATTATTAAAATTACTAAAATATAATTGTTGAAATTATAAAAATATAATTGTTAAAATTATAAAATTATAATCATTAAGATTATAAAAAATAACAATAAAATGAATAAAATATAGTTATTGACATTATAAAATTGTAATTATTAAAATTGTAAAAATATAATTATTAAAATTACAAAAATCTTACTATCAAAAATAATCAATTACAATTTGTTCCATTTTTATTTTCCTAAAATTCTGTAAGTTCAAATGAACGAAATTTATTTATTTCTTGTTCAAATTTAATATTTATTCCGATAATTTTGCGTCCCTATAAAAAAAAATTATAAAGTTTCTAAATGTAAAATTTAAGTTTTTAATTTTCTTTGCAATTAGTAATTTAGAAGAATATTTTTGACAAGAAATATTTCGTTTACTTGAACGTTAAAAACTTGTGGATCATTAATTTTTTAAATTCTCGATCTTTCAATCCTAATAAGAATTTATAGCATTAAATAAAAAATTATAATTTTAATTAATTTAATAATTTACTTTTAATTTTCAGTATAAATATGTAAAATTAAAAAGAAATGTCGAAATGTAATTCAAAATAGGATTTTACATTTTTGGGAAAACAATCATTTCGAAAGAAAAGAAAACTTACCATATTGTTCACTAGCTTCTGTGACATTCGGTTTTCTCAAAAATCGTCTGCAATTAATAGAAACCAAATTTTTAAATTTTTTAAATAACGATAAAAAAGGATATACTGTATCTTATCACATTTATCATGGGATCAATAGATCTTATCATAAAAATGATTAACTAATTTATAATTAAAAAATGTAGAAATATTCTTACTTTTTTAATTTTGCTGATATTGAGTGATATTTCGTTAAAAGATCACTGTGGTAATCATTGTTGCCAGTATTGAGAATTTGATGAGACATTTTCTCAATTAAAAACTCTTCTTTTCATTCGAATGTAATAATCACTGTGTAATAATTGTTCTCTCAAAAATAGCCGACACTTTTCATACAGTAAACGAATAAGATTAAATCGATTAAATCAAGTTACTGACGGATACAATATTTATAAAAAAAAAAATGTTGATAATTTACGATAATTATTAGTGGCAGGTGTTTATAAAAAATACTTGGGAAATCATGTTTGTTGCAGGTAGTCTCTAAACTTTTACGTTTAGAAGGTATTGCCCAGCAAACAGCAAATAAATTTCCGTGCAATCTTGTTCCCGTGTTATTCTCCAAAAAGAACAATAACATTTATGGTTACATATACGTTTCTAGACTTGGTAATTTATTTTAGTTCAATCGTTCAATTTTAGTGACATTCTAATGATTCTAATACGAATGCGCCGAATAAAAAAGTTAGGTTATGATCGACTATATAATAAATTGTAAAATTTCAATTCGATTTCTATTAAAACAGTAAATTATTTAGAAAAATTATCCACACTTGGATAATATTCACGATATTCACAAAACTTTTCTTACTTTTTGACCATCTTTTGCGGAAAATGTGAACATAACCTAGTTTAATTTTAAGATTTCTTTTACACTCACCATTTCACAATTTTCTTCTGTTCCAATTGCACGTTTGTCACTGAATTTAAAACAAATGCACATAAATAAATTAAACATGTCCACTGCACTTGGAAAAACTAATAAATTTGAGGAATTAAACATAAAAAACTGAGACGACAGTTCTTAATTGCGCCAAAAATTAAACTAACGGTTGCGTAATGCGCAGCGTGGTGCGCGCCGACACTGCACAGGGCTGGGAAGGTGAATTTCAAGAATATAAAGTAAGGGTGAATTCACACTGGTGACTAGTCACGTACAAAGTTAAGGTGTCTTAAGCTTTGTTCATAAATTTACATACTTTTTTGTCAGTAATTTACATAAAAAAAAAGTTAATTAAATAAAAATGATCTAAATATGCAATTACGATAATTAGCAATTGCGTAGACACAAGAAGACTGGACAATTGCAATTACAGATTTTTCATCTGGGAATATTATTAATTAAAAGTTGGTACTCTTACCTTGTGGACAATTGCATCTCCTTTGGCGGGAATTATGATTTTCATTTAAATATATGAAGAAGCTGAAACAAAATAAATTTATCATAAATACAAATTAACGTATAAAATAAACATAAAATTAATATTAGATTTTATAAAGTTAAATAAAAGGAACAACAAATTCGAAAAAATTATCTCTATTTGTATACATATTTTCTTTCTGTTCTTTTACTCACCTTCTTATTATAATACAAAATAATTTTCATTCATTTTTCGTATTTTTCTTGAATTTTATCATAAACTGTTCACTTTTTTTTGGCTAATTTTTCTTTTCTTTTTTTGACGTGCTTTTTGACTTTGCTTTTTCTTTTTTCTGATTGTTCTTCTTTGATTGCCTTCTTTCTTGCCTGAAAGAATACATTCGAAATTAATGAGTTATAAAATAAATATAATAGTAACAACAAAATTTATTAAATTAAAAAATAATAAAACTAATAATAATTAATTAATTATTACTATTTTTATTTTCAATAAAATTTTAATAACATTTCTGGAAATAATTCAATTGTTTTTAAAAGTTTTAATAAAATTCTTCGATAGAATTAAAATTTCTTCAGAATTTTAAATAAAATTATTTGTCACTTAAATAATTTAATAATTTAAAAAATAATTTACAATAATAATTTTTGAAAATTTCTGACAATTTCAACTGTTTTTAACAATTCAATTCAATATTTTTCTTGTACTTTCAATAAAATTGTCTGACATTTTCCTCATTTTCCTGAACAATTTTATTTTTTTTAAACTTTTCCTTGATTTCCCTGGCTTAGTTCAAATTCAGAGGAATCATACCTTTTTACTCTCTAAACTTTCGTTTCGTGGCCTGGCTGCATTTACAAATTTGGATGTCTTTTCATCTTCATTATTTGCAGAATCATCGGAATTTTCCGAATCAGAATCTTCCTCACTATTACTCGAAGCATCATCATCTTCATCATCTAAATTTTTAGCGGCAATAATTTCGGGAATTTCTACTGGTTTCGATAGATCCGATTTCATACCAATCAGAGTTTTATAAATTAATTCTTCTTTTCCGGACTTGGCTAACTTTATGTCCCTTTCAACATCGATAACCTACGAATATATATTTTTTTAAAGATTCATTTTTAATTGCAATTTTCTTCATTATTTTCATAAAAAGAAAAAAAAATTGATTAAGTGTTAAAATTGAAGTAATAATAAAATTTTAAATGTTTTTTTGGTTTACCTCATCAAGTCGTTGAGGAATGTAAGCTTGTTTGAACACTTGCTCCTCCACTTCTTCCTCAGGATCCAATGATTGTGAATTTTGTGTCACTTTCTCCGATGCTAAATCCAAATATTCCTCCATATTGTCTTCGGATACAGTTGGATCAGTAATGAAGTTAAAAAGTGACTTCAATGACATTACGGCCACATCTTTTTTCTTGAAGAATTCTGTAAAAATAATAAATAAAAATATGTAGAAAATTTTTTGGCAATTTCCAGAAAAGCTTTTAAATTTTTTTTCTTATTCCAGAAATAATATAAATTCAAAGTTTTCCTAAACTATAATTTATTTCATTTGCTAATAGATTATTAAATTATAATAATTGAATTTTTTAAACAATTCTTGGAAAATTATTAAAAAAAACAAGTTTTGGGAACTTTTAATTACAAACATGAAAATATATGATTTCGTTAAAATTTTAGTGATATAATTTAAGTCTTTCAATTTTTTTCAAAGTTTAGAAAAAATTATAATAAATTATAATTTTTTATAGTATTTCTAGAAATTTAATATTTCTTCTCTCACGTTGTTAAAAAAAATTTATCTGATTTCTCTGACAACTTACCGGTAATATTTGTGCAATCCTTTCTCAAAAATTCAAGAGCCATGGGATGATCGTGTTCGACAGATTGTGAAACATCAATGACAACAATACTCGAATCACAATAGAGTAAATTATATTCACTTAAATCGGCATGAACTAATTTACATTTATTGTAGAGTTTCCACATAATTTCAATGCATTCACGATATAAGGATCGTAATTTTGATGTGCAAAGATCGACGTCCTTTAATTTTGGTGCAGGCCATCCTTCTTGACCGATGAAATCCATCAATAAAACATGTTTACGTAACATTATCGGTTTGGGAGCATTAACACCGGCTTGCTGCAATCTTAAGAGATTCCTCATTTCCTTTTCCGCCCAAGTTTGAACCATTTTACGTGGATTACTCTTACAGTAACCGTGACGAAAGCGAAATTCACCAGTGACATATTTATCACGATCTTTGAAGTGTAAAATTGATGTTTTGTAAATTTTGATAGCAAAATCAACGCCTGTTTTCGATGTCGCATGATAGACGTTCGCCTCCTTTCCAGTTGAAATACAACCGTTCATTACGCTAATAATTCCCTGGGTGAGCATTTTAAATAATATTTTACGAGTTCTGGGATCCATCACCTGTTCAACTGTGGCACGATCATGTTTATCCTTTATTCGAATACGATCCTTATCGACACGTTTATTCTTTTGTATTAAACTATTCGTCGCATGATTCGGTAATGATGGACCCTCATATTTTTCCAAATTAATTTTATTCGCATAGCGTTGAAATAATTTTTCCGTTGGCTGATAATTGGAAATTTTTGTCGATACATTTTGTGTGTTGGCACTTTGTTGACGACTGTTTCTCAATCGAATTGAATGACCGGAAAAATCTTGAATATAATCCCAATCACAGTCACTGTCATCGTAGCTCTCTTCATTTTCATCTGATTCAGTTAGATTCAGATTCTCCAATTCCTTCTGTGGTGGTTGCTTAAACAACGGATTTCCTTTCGGTAAATTTTGATTGCTAAAAACGAAAAATATTTATTTAAGATATAAACAAAAATAAAATTATTCAAGCAAAATAAAGTAAATATATAAATTATAAAATTTGATTTTGGTTATCCGATTTACAGAAAGAATTGTGACCTTTTCCCTGAACCTAATGAATATTCTATAAGTTCGAATAAAAAAATGACTAAATGAAAAACATACTTAACATCATCCTCATCGGCATCACTAAATTGACCCTCCATTATTATTATTATAAATTAACTTTTAACTTTATCAAATATAATAAATCTTCCAAGTTGAAACAATCGTTTTTTGTAATAAATTAGTAAAACGTGGTTAGTACGTTCTTGAAATACAATAACATTGACAACTGATAAGAGCAGAAATAAGTTAGGTTAGGTTAACATCAGGGTTAGGAAGTCGAAATGTAAACTTTATCCCTAGTACTTAAGCTTGTCTCACATGACAATCGCAATGTAAGGGTGCTTTCACACCCGAGTCTAAGGAAAAAATTAACATTTTCCCCTGGTGGACAATTTGGAAAGTATAATTAACTTCCGCGACTCTAATCGAACATCCCCACCTCTAGTACACAAGTTTCAACATGGCCGCTTTAGTTGCTTTTAGTATCGTAGATTCCTTTTGCCTATTATGTATTTTTTAAACAGGCCAAACTTATTTTCTAAAATAGTGATTGAAGCATAGTGTACTACGTGGAAATTGCAATAAAAAATAATCACTCTTAACAGTATATTCTTGTCGGTGTAAAAAAAAAGTTAGTGAACTCGGGGTGGTAGGCATTTTCTCACATAAAACAGCTCAATACATACTTGTATACAGTTCTCGTTCCTTTTATTGGAACATGGTTTTCTATTGCACACGACGAGCAAGCGTAAACTGTTCTCAAAGAAAAAAAACCCAGTTCGATTAATTAAAGCTTTTCAAGTAAACACAAATAATTGAACACTCTCTCAATCTCACTCTTGTTGATGATTGATTTCATTATTAAAAAAAGGCCAATATTTAAATCATTCAAATATTGTCAAGTATTACTAGAAGCATCCTTGAAAATTCTCAACACTCAAGAATATTGACAATCAAGAATTGATTCGCAAAAATTATTCTTCTGGCAAGAATTTCGTTTTCTATTTAATATTTTTATTTAACTCCAACTGTCACATATTTATAATTGCATTTTCATGAGTAATGTTTTGATTGTTTCTTTTTTATTTTTAAACTGAAGGGAAATGTGAAAAAAAATGTTTTTACATATTATTGAAAGCATGAATTTAAGAAGCTGACAAATTATTTTCTGAGAAAATGTGTGATTTTTTAAATTTCAAAATGCTTTTTCTCGTTGAGTTTATTTTAAACACGTGACACTTATTGTGAGGTCAATAAACTCTGATTCTTATTGTTGTTATTACGCTCTTGTTTTTTGTGCAGTGGAAGCATTTTTTTGAGGGTGATTAAAATAATTGGATTAATAATGGCGGAAACACAGAGACAAACAATTTATGGTCGACATCCACCTTGTGCGAAGAGTGCAAGATTGGAGGATCGTCGAGCTCGAAGGTAAATTTTAATTTCTTTTTTTGTACCTTTTTTAAATAGGGTTGCCACAGGTCAGGGAATTCAGGGAAATTATGTTCAAAAATTAAAAAAAAATTCTTGTAAAAATTCAATTATCTTTAAAAATAATAAAATTCTTCTCCGAATTTCAATTATTCTCAAAAATTTTAATAAAATTCAAGGCAAAATTTCAATTATTTCCAAAGAAATTTCCTCAATTCAATGATTTTTAATATCTACTACTTTAATAAAATTTTTCAAAAGAATTCAATTATTTAAAAAAAAAAATGTTGATAAAATTGTTGTTGTTTGCTTTTTTGTTTCTTAATTTTTTTATAATTTTTTTTTTCAAATATTTTTAATTTTAAAATTAATGTATTGAAAATCATCGAATTGTTGCAAAGAATTTTATCAAAAAATTGGATAGTAATAGAATTCTTTCAAAGAATTTTATTATTTAGAAAAATAACTGAATTCTCACAAAGAATTTTATTAAAATTTGGAGTTTATATAATAATTTTAATTGAAAATTTTAAAAGCAATTGAATTTTATGGAGAAGAATTTTATTAAAATTGTATTAAAAATAATTGAATTCTTGCGGAAAATTTTACTATTTATAAAAATAAATTAATTGTTCCCAAGAATTTATTAAAATTTTAGAAAATAAATGCATTTAATGTTAATAATTGAAAATTTAAATTCTTTCGAGGAATTCTATGAAAATTATTTTGAGATGAATTGAATTTCTGCAAAGGATTTTACTATTTATAAAAATAATTGAAATGTTTCGAAGAATTTATTAAAATTTCAAAAAATAATTAAATTGTTATGAAGAATTTTATAGAAATATTTGAAAATAATGAAATTTTTTCGAGAAATTCAATTAAAATTTTTTTGAAAATAATTGAATGTAAATGTATTTAAAATAATTGAATTCATCACAAGAATTTTATTATTTTTTGAAAATAATTGAATTCTTTCAATTTTTTTGACGAATTATTTAAAAATTGCATTGAAAGTAATTTAATTTTTATATAGAATTTTGTACAAAAATTTTGAGAATAATTGGAAATTTTAGAAAACAATTAAATTCTTTCGTGTAATTTTATTTAAATTGGATAAAAAATAATTTTATTTTCTGCAAAGAATTTTAGTATTTATAAAAATAGTTGAACTGTTTCGAAGAATTTATTGAAATTTTAGGAAATAATTGAAATTTATGGAAATATTTAAAAATATTTGAATTCATCCGAGGAATTCAATTCAAATTGTTTTGAAAATAATTGAATATTACATTTTTTAAAATTAATTAAATTCTTTTGAGAACTTTTATTAAAATATTAGATTTTAAAAATATTTGAAGTTCTACGAAGAAATTTATTATATTCGTGAAATGTAATTAAATTTTTGCAAAAAAGAATTCTCGGAGTGATTCATATTTTCATGTACTATTTAAATTGAAAGATAAATTTAAATGGATTGAAAATTTAAATGTTGATTTTTTATTTTCTAGACAAGCTTTAAGAATGGAGAGGAATCGAAAGCCTGATAAGCCGGAGGATTTTGTCTGTTATGAGACAAGTGATGACGAAGAGGAAACAGTGACGGAGGGAAAACAATTTTTACGAACTTCCTTTAACTTCGTCGATTATGTACGTTCACGTGAAACAAATACACGAGAAGTTCGAAGGGTTAATCATGAATACGGTTCGCGTCATATGCTTACTCATGATTTGTTTAAAGAATCTTCGGTTAATTTAAATAATATGAATAAAGTATTTTCCTCGCAATGGCTGAGCGATAGGCAAGTTGTCTTTGGAACTAAGTGCAACAAATTAATGGTGTACGATGTGGCGACACAAAAATTGGACCAAATACCATCTCTACACGGAAGACAAAGTATGACTGGAACAAATGCAATTTCAGAGCAACAATGTGGTATTCATTCGGTGCAAATTAATCCCTCTAGGTATTTAAAAATATTTTATAAATAAATAATTATAAATTGCAAGTCTTGGATATTTTATGACTTTAAAAAAAATTTTATTAAAATTCTTCGAAAGATTTTTCAATTATTTAAAAATTTGTTGATAAAATTCTTTATGAGAATTTAAGTTTAAAGAAACATTCAATTATTAAATAAATTATATTTTTTTTACTTGTATAAAATTAAAAATAATTTCTAAAGTAATTGTTGCATTTTTAGAACTTTGCTGGCAACTGGTGCAAGAAATAGCAATGAAATTGCAATTTATCGATTGCCTACACTAGATCCCGTGTGCGTTGGAGAAGGTGGTCATAGGGATTGGTTGTTTGATTTGTGTTGGATGGATGATGAATTTTTGATTTCCGGTTCGAAAGACTCAAAAATGGCTCTATGGCGGGTCCTTAGCGAATGGGTCGATGCTCCGGAGAAGGCTGATATTCCATCTCACAGGTAACAACATTTAAATGTTTTTTCATCATTTTTCTTTAGGTTTTAATCTAGAGGTGACGACAAGAACTTTTGGGGATATGATTTGCTATATTATTTAATATTTTAAAGAATCTAAATGTTAATTAGTCAAAATTTTATTTTTACACATTCCTATTTATTCCTATCAATAAATTTAAAAGTTTTAAATATTTATGAAGAAAAGGAAATTAAGATATAAATCTCGAAAACAATTTTCTTTAATAATTTTTTCTTTTTTGTAATTTTTTTGTCACCTTCTTGTCACCTAGTTTTCGAAAATACATAATTCACCTGTTCACCTATTTTGAAGGAAAAAAGATACTGTGATACATTTTAAGAACAATTTTTGTTATTTCGAAATTTGACCGAATATTTAAAAAATTGCAGATTAATTCAACCAGTTTGCGTGAAGGAGTGTCGAGGAGCACAAAAAGTGCGTGCGCTAGCGTTCAATAAAGCTTACGGTGAAATTGCAGCGCTTTCTCTAAATAGTTTCATTCACATTTGGGAGGCCGAGACATTTAAACAAAAAATTTCTCGTAAATTGCCGGCGTGTCAAGAAAATGTTTGTATGGCCGTTCAAGAGAAGGGTGTCTATGCCATTGGCTGCCGATCTCATACACTACTTTTGGACGCTAGAACTTTACAATCGATTAAAAAAATACCATCCCGGTTAGTATGAAGAGCAGATTTTTTTAAACAAAAATCCGTTTTCCCAAACTACATCATCGAGTATAATTTTCTAAAAAGTTGGTTATTTTTTTGTTAATTGAAACTATTTTTCATTTGCAGGTATAATGGTTGTAGTATAAGGTCCGTAAGTTTTCAAGGAACAGTGCTTACAATAGGCACTGGATTAGGAATGTTAATGTTTTTTGATATTAGAGCTCAAAAGTACCTAGAATCTTCAATTAATTCAAATCGTACGGCCGTTTTGAAAGCATCGAAAGGATATGTGGTGAGTAATTTTTTGCTTTTTTTCATTTTTGATAAAATCGACGCTTTCCGTTGATAAAATCTTATTTTAATTGACAATTTAATAGAAAGTTTTGCAATTTTCCGTGTTATATAATTTTAGCTCGAAATAAATTTAAATTCACGTAAAAAAGGATAAAGAATTGAATTCCTGAGGAGAAATTTATTGTTTATGAAAATAATTGAATTCTTGTGAAGAATTTGATTATTTATGAAAAATAATTGAATTCTTGCGAAGAGTTTGATTATTTATGAAATTAATTGAATACTTTTGAAGAATTTTATTAAAATTTTTGAAAATAAATGATTTTCTGACAAGAAAATAACTGAATTTTCGCGTAGAATTTAGTTAAAAAAATTTTAAATAATTGAATTCCTGCGAAGAATTTTCTTAACTATGAAATTTTTGCAACATTCATTATTTATGAAAACTATTCAATTCTTGAGAGGAATTTTATCAAAATATTTGAAAATAATTGAAATCTTACGAAAAATGTTATTATTTATGAAAATAATTGAAAACTTCAGAAAAATATATTAAAACATTAGAAAATAATTGAATTCATTCCAGAAAGTTTATTAAAATTGAAATGAAAATAATTGAAATCCTACGAAGAATTTTATTATTTAACCGAATAATTGAATTTTGCCAAGAATTTTATAAAAATTAATTGAGATTTTTAAAAATAATTGAATTTCTTATATTATATTTTTTTAACGAGGTCTTCTTTTTTTCTTCTTTTTTTTCTTTTTTTCTTTCTTTTTTTCTTTTTTTTCTTCTTTTAAAAAAATATAATATATTAATATGAATGAATGTAAAAATACTACCTCATAATTGAATTTCTGCAAAGTATTTTATTAAAATATTAGAAATTAATTGAATTCGTAGCTAAGAAATTTATTATTTATGAAAATAATTGAATACTTTAGAGAAATTTTATGACAATTGTATTGAAGGTTATTAAATTTCTGCTATGAATTTTATAATAATTATTGTAAGAAAATAATTGTTTTAAGGAATTTCTTTGAATTTTTTAAAAATGTTTTTTAGATAATTTTAATTAAATATATGGAAAAAAGATGAATTTCTGCAAAGAATTTTATTGAAATATTAGAAAATAATTGAATTCTTTCGAGAAATTTTATTAAAATTGTAATGAAAATAAATGAAATCCTACGACGAAATTTATTATTTATGTAAATGAAAATAATTGCATTTAGCCAAGAATTTAATAAAAATTGAGATTTTTGAAAATAATTGAATTTCTGCAAAGAATTTTATTAAAATTCTTGTAAATAATTGAATTCATAGCGAAGTAATTTATTATTTAAGAAAATAATTGAATTGTTTCGAAGAATTATATTAAAATTTTTAAAAATAATGGAATTGTTTCGAAGAATTTTATCAACATTTTTGAAAATCCTAATTAAACTCTTTTAAAACATTTCTTTGAATTTTTTTAAAATAATGGAGTTTTTTTTGTAATTTTAATTAAAAATTTTGAAAGAAATTCAATTTTTGAATTGAATTGACAATTGAAATTAAAAATCATATTGAACTGAACTCTAAATATTATTCTTTTGAATTTAAATATTTGGACAAATGAAATAAGATTTTATTAACCTGAGACATCGAAATGAATTTTGAGAAAAAATTCTTTCGAAACTTCAATAATATTTATATTTCCAGTTTCCGGATGAAGAGTACATTGATGGTTTTCAAAATGTGAAATATACGCCAGCGATTTATACTCACTGTTACGATCAATCGGGCACGCGCCTCTTTACAGCAGGCGGTCCTTTACCACCGAATCTTTACGGTAATTATGCAGGACTTTGGCAATAAGAATGCAGGTCTTTATGGGAATTTTAGACTGAATGTGTCGTTTTACTTATATTATAAAAATTCTAATAATACGTAAAAGGACACGAAGGATATGCAAAAAAAAAAACATTAAACATATAGGCTAAATCATTAATTGAGAAAATACTGAAATTTTCCCAAAAGAAAATCGTTTTGGGAATTTTTATAACACAGTTTTTCTTTCAATATTAGTTTGAAATACTTTTTACAAAAGTGATTATTAATATTATGATTGTAAATAGCCAGGAATTACGATTGAAAAATACGATATATTTTTCTGTAGGCTGACAACTCGCTTAAAATTTTTATGGCTTTTTAATTCACACACACACAACATTTTACAATCTTTACTTAAAGTAAAAAAAAGAAAAAAAAAACACAAAAAACAAACAAATATTCACATTTCTTTTGTGAAATAAGTTTTTACAGTGTGTCACATGAGAATTAAGAACTAGACATTTTTAGAGTTCGTTTCGTGTGTAAGTTTTTTGAATGCTTTAAATTTACGAATAGTTAGTTAAAATAATTGAAAAAAATACAATATCATCACAACTGGCAATTTTCGAGAGACGAAAATTTTAGATAAAATGTAGGAATTATTTTTTTTTTGTTAGTAACATGCGTTCATGTTTAACAGAAAAGTCCTTGTCAAATGTGAACAGAAATTTTAGGATTCAAAAAAAAGCTCTAAAAACAAATTTTGCAATAAGAGCTGAGTTGTGTCTTAACAAGTGACTGGCCTCGAAATATTTTACAGTTATTTGTAAACAACATTATATTACATTTATATCAAGATCGCATGTTGGGGAAAATGGGGGGGAATTGATTTAAATAGCACAAGGAAGGCGATAAAAATTCCAGAGATTTTATTTTAACATCAAAAATGCAAATAGCCAAAAAGAAATTTCTCTTTTTAGTAAAAATTTTTAATTTTTAGACAAAAAAACTAACTTATTTTAGTCAATTAAAACTATAATAATATTTATGAGAATTGCATGAATATTATACAATAAAGTAAAAGAGAAATAAGTTAAGCTGGTTATTTGCTTATTTTTTAAATTTTACATAAAATGAAAATTTCTAAAGTTTTCTATCGTCCTGCAGAATATGACTAAGAGGGGTTTTTTTTATCATAATCGTCTTTAATTTATGGCTTCATTAAAGACAAACAATGTCATTTTAATTCAGGAAATTAAAGGACTAAAGAATTTAAGAAACTAAAAAACTAATGAATTAAAAAAATTAAAGAATTAAAGAAAATTAATTTCTAGAAATGAATTTTTAAATCAAAATTTTAAAAATTAATAACTGAACTTAAAGTTTATTTTGGAAATTTTAAGTATTAAAATTGTCACAATGACCTTTAATTAAGGACGAATATGAAACAAAATACCTAAATTCTTAATATAAATTAGGAAAAAAAAATACTAATTTCCAAAAAAAAAAACAAAAAAGTGCGAATGAATGAAACATGAACAACGTTATTCATGAAATTTAAAAAAAAATCTAGTTTTAAGTAAAAAACTATCATATTTTAGATAGTTACTGTGGAACAGTGTGTAAACTGTGATGGTGTAAACGTATTTGATTGTGTGCAATTCAAAGAACTGTTTATGTAAGTAGGTTTCTAAATAACGAATAATTTCGTTGGTGATAATATTTTATGCAAAATCAATTAACAAGCGAATTCAATGGAAAAAAGGGAAATTTGCATGCGCAGTTCATAAATTTTATTTCTGCCAAAAATTGATTATAACGAAAATTTTTATGATATTAAGAAACATTTTTTATTGCTACATTTTTGCTCAATTTATAACTATTTTAATTTTTATTACTATTATTATTTTTTTTTATTATCTTTTTTATTACTAGCAAATTTGGCGCGCTTAACGCCAAATGCGGTATTCGATTTATTATTATTAAATGCAAAATTAAACAATTTTTTATTTTCAAATATAAACTTCAATTTTTAAACAAAATTCTCCTCGGGAATTCAATTATTTTCTATACAATATTTAAAAAATTTCTCAAGAATTCAACAATTTTTTAAAATTTAATCAAATGTTTCGAAACAATTCAATTATTACTTTCAAAAGTTTTAATAAAATGTTATACAATTTATATTTATAAATATGTTTATAAGTTATATTTTAAAAAATTGTAATAAAATTCTGGGTAGAATTTAAAAATTTATTTACAATAATTTTTATTAAAAAAAATTTCATAATCAAAATTTTAGTTACAATTTTTTAACAAGCGCGATTTATTTAAAAATCGTGAAAGAAATTCTTTGTAAAATTGAATTATATTCAATCTTTTAAGAAAATTCTTCGCAGGAATTCAATTATTTTAAAAATTTTTAATAAAATTCTTCGCACAAATTTAGTTATTGTCAGAATTTTAAATAAAAATCGTCGAAAGAATTCAGATTTCTAGAATTGATTAAAAAATTCTATTTCAAAATTCAATTATTTTCAGTTTTAATTTCTATAAAATTTCTCGAAAGAATTTGATTATTTTTAAAAATTGTATGAAAATTCTGGAAAGAATTCAATTATTGCAAAAAAAAAATCAATAATATTCACTTATCAAATTTTCAATTATGATTATTAAAAAAGTATTATTTTGAAAAAATTCATAGAAACTCTTCTAAAGAATTCAATTATTTTTAAAAATTTTAATGAAACTCTTTCAAGGAATTTAATTATTTTCAATAATTTGAATAAAATTTGGTCTCAAGATTTCAATGATTTTCAATACATAAATTTTTAAATTGAAAATATTTGAAAAGAAAAATTATTTAAAAAGTTTAAACGAAAAAGCAAACAACTAACTTCAAACTTCGAACAGACTACCGAAATAGAGCGATTGTTAATAAAATATAGATTATCATTATTAGTAACATTATTTTTTTATTATTATTATCATTATTTTTATTATTATTATTATTATTATTGTTATTATTATTATTATTATAAAAATGTTATAATTTTTATAAACAATAATCAAAAATGTATATTTTATTAGAAGCAAATTTAAAAAGATAATTTAAATGTATGTATCTTAAAATGTTTTTCAATTTTTGGCAGAATCCAAAATGTATATATTTATTTATAAAAAGCGACAATTTTGGAAATAGTCTCCTTTTTCGATGAAAAAAAAATCTATTTCTTAACTCCGTTTATATTACTTTTTTTTACTGTCAAAATTGTTTTTTAAAAGAAAAAGATTTACATCGAATTTCCGTAAAGCGATTATTTAATGGAAAATTACTCTTAAATGAAAAATATTTATATAGTTAAATGCCAGTTTTCTTTTCTTGATTAATAATAATAAGAAAAGTTATAAATAACACGTGGTGATCGGTCTTTTATATGAATAATGTAATCTACTGCTAAGTATTTATACAATCATTGGCAGCAATATTGTGCCTAATCAGGGAAAAGTAATTTTATTTTTTTTTTCAATTTTGGATTCGTAAATTGAAGGTATTTTAAAAAGAGTTCTTTTTTTAAATGAATCTATAGAAAATGCAATAATTGTAATTAGACACGATAATTTAATATGATTTTGTTATTTTGTTATTGTAAATCTTATTTTAAAATCAGTTTTGTCATTCAATTTTAACTTTTAATAATCTTCAAAATTCAAATCCATTCGATATACTTCGAGAATCCAAATTTCACTCTTTCATTATTTAATCTTCGATTTCTTTCTATTTGGAAAATTATTATTATTATTTTTTTTATTATAGTATTATTATTAATATTATTATTGGTATCATTATTAATATTATCATTATTAATATTATTATTATTAGTATCATTATTATTAATATTATTATATTATTATTATTATTAATATTATTATTATTATTATTATTATTTTGCGACTTTTGAAAAAGATTAAGACTGATTTGGAAAATTAAAAATTTATTGTCGACTGTGATTTATGTTTCGATGGAGAATTTCAAAAGTTTGACCAAAGAATGATTTTTAATGATGGAACTGAGTTAAATGTGGAGTATCGAAGTATAGCGAACAATTAATTTTTTTTCATTTTTCTATTATGGAAAAATATTTTTTTTTTTCATTAAGCGATATGGATATTTTATACATTTTTTTCTCATGTTCTGTGATCGTGAATTAGTTTATTTAAGTTGATGTTTATTTGCATACAATTTTAATTGTTTTCTTTCCTTTTTCTTTAATAATTGAAATAATTTGCGTAAAATCTGCGAAATAATTTGGAATTGTATTCAAGAGATAATTAGGAAATTATTATAGTTTTATTATAATTACTAATTATAATATTCTTTAAATAATTGACTTTTCTTTTTATCTAATTGAAAAGTAATCAAATTTACATCGTGTCTGATTTTCAAAATTGAAATTTGTTCATTTTTCAAAGAAAAAGTTATTATTTTTTTTTAAACCGATAACTAAAGTGTTGTACATAATTGGATAATATTGAAGAAATTTACGGAAGTGAGTTTTTTTTCTTGAATTTGATTAATTAGGTATGTGAAATTTCACATAAATTTGCATAATAGAAACTTCGTTTAATAAGACAGAGATAAATATTATAAAAAAAAAATAATGAAACATAAGATTCCGTTGATTCTCAAGATATTTTAGTTGAATTTTATTTTATTATTCTTCGACATAACTCAAGATTGTTTTTATTGTTTGTCAATATCCGCCGTAATTAATAATAATGAGTTATTTTGTATTTAATGTAAGAGATGCAATGTGGGAAGAAGTTAAGTATGTTATGCATAGATTTGTAATTCTGTTGTATATGTCTTTACATATACAAAAAGTACTAATTGTAAATAAACTGGCCGACTTATACAGAAAGAAGGCTAAATTTATTATAATTCAATTAAACGAATTTTTTCATTATTTCTCTTTTCACTCTTTCCTTGTTAACATTTATTTTTTATAATTAATTTTTCAATGTTTTTATTTAAATGTTGATTTTTATTTTTAATTTAACTTGTTCGGATCGACTTTAAACCGAGAAAATAATAATTATATTTTTTTAGAAGCCAATCATTATTTTGTTTTTTTATTAAAGTTTTTTAAAAATCAATTATTTTAAAAATTTACAATTACAATTTTTTCAAAATTTTAATTAAATAATTAAAAAAAATATATTTTCACTAAAATTTAGAACAACAATTCTTCCAATTCTTGAAATATTTTCTAAAATTTTACCAGAAATTATTGTCAAAATTTTAAGGAAATTAATTTCACTAAAACTCTAATTACTCTATTTACAAATTAATTGTCAAACTTTTAACATATATTATAATATATAACTAATTTAGGAAAATTTTCATACCTTTTAAATCCGTATTTTATAAATTTTTCGATAAATTTAAAGAATTCTCAATATCCGTCAGATGTTTATCATTACTATTTGTTTTGCAAAACATCTTGAATTAATTATTCATCATTTGAAATTTCGAAATGTTTATCCTGTAAAAAAGAAAATAATATTTTCATATTAATATAAAATAATAAAAGAATTGCGTAAGGGAAAGAAAAATCATTTTTAAAAAATGATTCAATAAAAAAAACCTGTCGATTATTTATAAATAATTTATTGATGATATATGACGACTTTTTACAAATTGAAGATTACTCTTCATTTAAGTTAATTATAAAATAAAAATTGTATAATGTATACAAAACGGGGTTTCCCAAAAAAATGGTTTTCGAAACCAGTTATGATAGGAAATAAATTACATATATATTAGTAAAAATAAACTGAACTTTGGATAAATTAGGATATGTATTCTCACTTAGTTTCAGGTTTCCTATACTTAAAATATCATTTCTAGGATAAATGTTTCAACGATATGTTTTTGATAGAGTGCATAATATTATGACCTTTAAAAAAAATAGTATTTTTTTCGATTAAATTTTTGGTCATACAAAAATGTTACACATTATTTGTCATATCTGAGATTAATAAGGCATTTGAAAACGAGATTTTTATTTTGTTTTCTTTTAATGCAAAGGGAGGGGCGGGGGTTTCTTCTTTTTTTATAGGACTTTTTTCGCCTTTTTAGGAATTACTCATAATTCTAATTCTAAATATATTTTTACACATAGAATCTGCATCAAAATGCAGAATGAATAATTGGCATTGTCCATTTTTATAGATATTTCTCAGCCTATCAAGAATAAATTGATTGGGATTTTTATTTTATTCAAAATTTGTTTCGTATTTTCCGAAAAAAAATTAATGAGCATGGTTTTGTTTTCTTTTTTCTTTTCTTTTTTGAAAATCTGATCTTATTTTTTAAAACACGATCTTAAAGATTCGAGATAGTTTTCTTAAAAAAAACTTTTTCTTTTCATTCTAGACAAATTTTTAAATTACAATTCTAGAATTTTCTTTTTGAGAAAAACAATGACTATTCCCTCACTTATTCTCCAAATGTTAAAAATACGATTTTTATTTCTATTCTAGAAAAAAATAAATAAAAATTTCACTTTTGAAAAATCGCGAAATTTGTGAAATTTAAACTTTAATCGTGATACAATTTTTTTTCTTTTTGTCAGTCGAAATTGTTCCTAATTCCTGAGGATTTTTTTGTTGTTGAATTTTTGAAATTATTTGGATTTTGTTTTTTGTTTTAAAATCAGAGATGACCGGCATCGAGAGCCTTATTAATATCACTGACTAATAAACCAAGAGTTGCCCTTTGCTCGGAATCTTGTCGAAAAATTGAATCCAAAAAATCTGGATGTGTGAGAAAATCAAAGACAAGGTCACAACGATCCTGTGACTTGTCGGTGAGATGAGGTTTTATTAAATTCTGAATTGCAGATCTACATCTTTCCAAGGCTTTCGTTAAGTACGGCTTATCGAAACTGTAATCCAATTCGTAAAATGAAACTACTGACATTGCTGTTGATCTCAATGACGATCTGATTTCAGCAATTTTCTCCTCATCCCCAGGGACTAATTGTTGATTCCGATGCAAAAGTCCAATCTGCAAAAAAATACAAAATAATTTATATATTCATTCAATGTTAATTAAATTAATTATTAATTTATTAATTTATTGATTTAATTTATTTAAAGTATTTTATTTACAATACAATTCTTTGTAACTATTCAATTATTTATAAATTTTATTATTTATAAATCATTTGCAAGAATTCAATTATTTTCAAATTTTTAACAATAAGAAAATTCTTTGCAGGAATTCAATTTCTTTTAATTTAATAAATTGAAAATTTTACGAAATTAGATAATTGTCTTCTACGGCGGGGAGAGAGAAATTATCACACTGACCTTAATTGATAATTTGACGATATTCTTGAGCACCTTCTCCGGTTGCTTTTTATCCAAATTTGGACTCTGCTTAGCAGTTTTTTCCATCAATTTATAGAGATTATCTAGAAGTGATGTTGTTGCGTCATCAATTAATAATGATCGGCCCGTGCCGGTTGATGCAAATCGTCCGAGAAGTTTCTTTTGAGCTCGAAGACCCAGGTCACGAGCTCGACTTCCGGTTCCAGCAGCAGGGTAAACTCCACCCCCTGTAGCTGCGGACTGCATCACTAAAAAATTTTATCAAATTATTATCATATTTTAATCAAAATATTTTGTTATAAAAAAATTTTTTTTTTTATTCTATTTTGAATTTATATTTCTCTTTTAGGAACAATTTATTTTCTCATCTTTTAATAAAAATTCAATTTCAGTTCTAATTTATAATTTTTTTTTAGTAGCGAAAAACAAGTAAATTTTCGAAAATTCAATAAAAAATACCTTCTCATTTGATTAAAATGAAAAAATATTCAACTGTCTGACAAAAGATATCAATGAACTAAAAACTAAAAAAAGAAGAATATTGACGGTGACAATTCCGATAATGATACATACTTATCTACTCTTAGAGATATGCTCAAGTATATAATTTGATCGTAAATGAAAGCAATAAATGACAAATAAACTTACCATCAAACATGAGTGGAAGTGCCTTTTCCTGTCGATGATAACGGAATCGGAAATCAAATAATGCTTCCAAACTCAAGCAAAGCCAATAAAAGGAACTAAAAATATGTGCGAATTTGCTGTTTTAAATAAATAATAATAATAATACGAATTGTGGATAAAAATTAAAAACAAAAAAAAAACAGAATATAAATTGTGGGTAAAAATTAAAAACAAATGTACAATAATGCAAATTTGCTTTTTTAAATTGTGGATAAAAATTAAAAACAAAAAAAAACACAAAAATGCGAATTTGCTTTTACTAAATATAAATATTAATATACGAATTGTGGTAAAAAATAAAAAACAAAAAAAATACAGAATATAAATTGTAGGTGAAAATTAAAAACAAAAAATGCATAACAATGCGAATTTGCTTTTTTAAATAAAAATATTAATACGAATTGTGGATGAAAATTAAAAAGAAAAAAAAAATACACAATAATACGAATTGTGGCTAAAAATTAAGAAAGAAAAAATAAATAATTTTTGAACAATAAATGAAACTAATTTTTGATGAAGTGCATGAAAATGCACATAATGACAATGAATTCATGGCTAATTGAATTTATTGGAGAATTATAGTGATGAAGTGATGTTCGATTATGTAGTGAAATTTTAATGAGAATTTATACCTTGATTGCAGTCCGGTACAGCCACAAGGTGATAGAGTAACCAACTTTGTAGCTCCATTACCGCAGTTCCCCACGCCACCTGTAAAATGCAAATTTTCTGTTAATTTACCTCTATTCATAATTAGACATATTGTGCAAAATTATAATTAGGTTTGACATAAATTCACTTAATTCCGTGTACTCAACATGAAATTAAGAAATTCAAAATAAATTTGCACCTATAGAAACGATATAAAAATTAGAGATCTCCAATTTCTTTTTTTACTAAATAAAAATAGTGGAGTAAATTTTTTTCTTTAAGTTTTCAGTATCAAGAAAGTAAATATTCCATAAGATTGGAAAACTTTTTCAAGTAAGAACATTATTTTTCACTCTAAAAATAGTGCTACTGAAATATGCACATAGTTTAAAAGTATTTTTTTCAGAATATCTAGTAAATGATAAAGAAAAATTTTAAATTAATTTTAAGAATATTTATGTAAAATTACAAAATTTATTTTTAATGATCTACTATTTTTGGATTATTTTAGATTATTTTTATAAATAATAAAATTCTTTGCGGAAATTCAATTATTTTCACTACAATTTCAATGCATCAATTTCTCGAAAGAATTCAATTATTTTAACAAATTTTAATTAAAATCTTTATACAGAAATTCAATTATTTAACAAAATATTAGTAAAATTCTAAGTATAAATATTTTCATAAAATTGCTTGAATTAATTAAGATATTTTCAAAAATTGTAATAAAATTTTTTCGAATAATTTAATTATTTTGGAAAAATTTTTGATATAATTGGACAATCAAAAAGTTCAATATCATTTTTTGTAAAAATTCAATTATTTTTAAAAGTAATAAAATTCTTCGCAGAAATTCAATTATTTTTGAAATCTGTACAAAAATTCTTTGCAGAAATTCAATTATTTTCCAAAATTTTAATAATACTTTTCGAAAGAAATGATTCAAAAATTTTTCCTTAAAATTCAATTATTTTTAAAAATAATAAAATTCTTCGCAGAAATTCAATTATTTTAACAAATATCTGATAAAATTCTCCGCAAGAATTCAATTATTTAAAAAAAATTTTTATTTAACTCACGAAAAAAATTTCTTGAAATAATCCAATTATTTTCAAAATTTTTAAATAAAATTCTTCAATAAAATCCAGTTTTCGTAAAAAATAAATTGAATTAAATTCTTTGCAAGAATTCAAATATTTTAAACACAATTTTTAGTTAATTCGTCAAAAGAATTTAATTATTTTCAAAAATTTTGATAAAATGCTACGTAATAATTGAATTCTTTTCAATAAAATTTTTATTAAATTCCTTGAAAGAATTAAATTTTTTTAAATTTTATTAAAATTCTATTCTTCGGACAAAATTCAATTATTTTCAATACAATATTCAATAAAATTTTTCGAAAGAATTCCATTATTTTTAATACAATTTTCATTAATTTTACTATTTTTATTAATTCCTCGAAAAAATTGATTTATTTTTAAAGTTCTAGTTCTTAGTTTTAATTAACAATAAAAAACTGTATAAACACTTAATTTATCCTGAACTTTCTTATTAGTCTTATAAACTTTAAAAATGCCAAGCTGAATTTTTTTTCTATTTCTTTACAGTAAACGAACTTTACAGAATAAAAAATTGAACTTTTTTTGAATATAATTAAAATTTTTACAAAACTTTTGATAAAATAATAATTTTTGAATTATTTAGACTAATTTTATGTGAGAATTGAAAAAAATAATTGAATTTTGGATTCACAATTTTTATGAATAATCGAATTTCTTTTAAGAAAATAATTGGTTTCGAATAATTTAACAATTGAAGATATTCACAAATAAGTGTATTATAAATATTTCCAATCTAATAATTTTCAGAGTGAATCACAATATTCTTTAGGTTCAGAATGAAAATTGAAATTTGTTTGGATATCGGAAAAAATCGAATTTTTGTGGCAAACTTTTGACATTGACATTCAGAATACTGTTCGATTATTAATAGGTCTACAGATTTTGATATTTTATAATTAGAAAATCATCGTCAATTTTTCGTTCTCGATTCGCATGTTTAATTTAACTTTGACTAAATATTTTGACAGAAGAAAATATTTATGTGCCTGTGTCAGTGATGTAAAAATAGAAGAGATATTTAATTTATATTTACCGAAGAGTTATTTTGAAATAATAAATAGAAAATTTGCATTTAAATAAACAATATTGAAGTGCCTTGAGAGAGTCGATTGTTTCATTGGTTAAAAGATGAATTGAAATTCAACAAGAAGCTTCTTTTAATTATTCTGACATTTTGCTCTTGAGCTGCATTGGACGCTTGCATTTCATTAAATGAATATATATTGATAAATAGAATACGATAAATGTTCGAGGAGTGCAAAATGCTTTTCACATATTCTCATATATACATATATCAAACATGTATATTATACAGAGAGGGTTGGCCTAGCCTTTAGTACAGTTGAATCGATTTGTAAGGAGCGTCAAGGCAAGCCAGAGATTCTCATTCTCATCAAACTTTTAGGATACGTGACATAAACACCCAGCAACTTGCAATTTCACATTCCAGAAGCCTTCTTTAATGGAATTCCATTTTAAATTAGTGTCAAAGTGGAAAGAAACTAAAAGAGACAAGCGAACGATAAAAACTTTTCAACCTGAAAAATAAACACAGAAAATTTTTTATTCTTTTTGCTATATTAATTTCATAGAATTGTAAGATATTATTTAATTAATTTATTAATTAATTTATCAAAAAGAAGAATAATTCGATAATTGGAATTGTTTTTGATTTGTTAAAAAAATGTTTCCTTGAGCAATTTGGGGGTATGTACTAATTAACAGAGACGATATTCTTTTCCAATTAGATTAATTTGAATCGAGTTAATTAAGTTCTATATAACTTGTTAAGGAGAGTAAATAACTAGAATTCTTTTAGGCACCTGTAAATTGCTTTGACTGACAACCGGTTATGTTTTCTTTGAGAATAGAATTAATTAAACTCAATTTCGCATAACGGTTGGTGCACGTAAAGAGAAACAAACTAAAAGAGAGAAAATAAAAGAATTCAATAAAGGGTAGTTCTTGTCATCTCAGAGAGTAGCGATCACTTTAAACTAATATAGAGTATAGAATTCAATTTTTAAACGACAGAAAATTAAATTTCTTTTTTTGAATATCAATAAATTATTTGAGATTCGAATTTTACAGAAAATTAATTATTTTTAAACATAATCAATTACTATTATTATTTATTTTTTATTATAATTTGAATAAAATTCTTGCAAACAATTCAATTATTTTCAAAAATTTCAATCAAATTCTTCGACAGAATTCAATTATTTTTAAAGTTCAATTTTAATAAAATATCACGAAAGGATTCAATTTCTATTTTGACAAATTTTTAACAGTTTTTTTTTAATTATTTTCTAAAATTATAATAAAATTTTACGAAGCAATTTAATAAAATTTTAGTAAAATTTCACAAAAGGTTTCAATTATTTTTAAAAATTTGTAATACAATTTTTCAAAAAAAGTTAATTATTCTCAAAAGTTTAATAAAGTGTTTTATAAGAATTCAATTATTTTCATAAATAAAAATAAAAATAAATTTCTTCTCATAAATTATGAATTTAATTATTTTTAGTACAATTTTAAAAGAAAAATTCTGGAAAGAATTCATATTATTTTCAAAAATTTTAATTGAATCCCAGAAAGAAAGAAATTTTCGAAAAAATTTAATAAAATTCAATAATCAAGATTTGTAATTAAAATTATTATTAAACAAGATTGTATTTTAAAAACTTGAAGGAATTCTTTATAAAATTCAATTATTTTCGAAATATTCAATTAAAGTTTAGCTAAAAAACATTTCAAAAATCTCAACTTTTATAAAATTCTCGACTAAATTCAATTATTTTCATAAATAATAAAATTCATAGCAGAAACTTAATTACATTCAATACAATTTTATTGTCATAACATTTCTCTAAAGTATTCAATTATTTTCATAAATAAATTAAATTTTGTGACAAATTTCGATTATTTTCAGAAAATTTGATAAAATTCTTCCCCAGAATTCAATAATTTTCCAAATTTTTAATAAAAGTTCTTCACCAGAATTCAATTTACTTTATAAATAAAATAATTCAGAAATTGAATTTTTTCTTTAAATTTAAATAGAATTCTTCGAAAGAATTTAATTATTTTTAAAAAAGTCAAAGAAATTCTTTAAAACAGTTCAATTATTTTTAATATAATTGTTATAAAATTTCTTTAAACTATTCAATTATTTACATAAATTTGAATAAAATTATTCGAAAGAATTTAATTATTTTCAAAATTATAAATAAAATTCTTCGAATGAATTCAATTATTTTCAAAAAATTATAATAAAATTCTTTGAAAGAATTCTGGTTTCTAGAATTAATTTAACAATTCTTCACCAAAATTCAATTATTTTTATTAATATTAAAATTCTTCATAGAAATTCAATTATTTTTGAAATCTTTTTTAAAATCCTTCGTAGAAATTCAATTATTTTCAAAAAATTTAATATAATTTTTGAAAGAATTGATTCAAAAATTCTTAGCCAAAATTCAATTATTTTCATGAATAATAAAATTATTCGACAAAATTCAATTTTTTTCATTAATATTTAAACTCTTTGTAGAAATTCAATTATTTTTAAAAATAATAAAATTCTTCGTAGAAATTAAATTATTTTCATAAACAATAAAAGTCTTCAAAGAAATTCAATTATTTTCAAATTTTTTATTTGATAAAATTCCTTGCAAGACTTCAATTCGAAAAATATTTAAAGAAAAAAAATATTGAAAAAAGTCAGGAAAAAAAAGAAAACTGCAACTAATTTCCAACTGCGAGTAGACTACTAAAATACAACGATTATCAATTGTATAGAAGAAGATAAATATTATGAATTTAAACAAAACGAAAATTTCTGCAAGCAGAAATAAAAGTTTAGATTTTAGAGATTCATTTTCAAAAAATAAATCCAATTTGAATGAAGATAAAAAATTCCCAGAGAATAAAATATAGGAAATAAATTGTGAAGTTGACTCATCCTTTGAAATTCCAACAGTGCAGCTGTCCTTTTCAACTGTTGCACGAAATATTCACGAGAAGCAACAGCTGTTCGGTCAGCACCCCTAATCGTTAATTCGTGCACTTTTTCATCATATTGAGGATATGAAACGGCAATAGCAGTAGCAGCAGCTGCTGACATTTCGAAAGAGTGCAAAGTACGCTCACAGGTAGACGTTTCACCTTTTTCTATATTTAGGATCAATTTTTTCGTTAAATAATTTTCCTCTCATTCTTTTCTTCAACTAAAATTTCAGACTATAGAGAACAGAATTGTTTTTCGTTAAATAGTTTTCCTCTTATTCTTTCCTTCAACTAAAATTTCTAACTAGAGAACAAAATTGTTTTTCGTTAAATAATTTTCCTCCTATTCTATCCTTCAACAAAAATTTCAGACTATACAGAACGAAATTGTTCTTTTTTTCTGAAAAGAATTTTTTGTTTTTACCAACGAATTTTTCATTTTGTGTCTATGTGAATTATTTTAATGGAAAACTTGTTCGGAAGACAGTTCTATACTCCAAAGTTACGCAAGTTAATGCTATTTTGTTAGTTGGGAAACTCTCCATAATTGAAGAGCATACACGCGGTTCTTTTGTGTGAACCTCAATATAAACACAATTATCCAACTAAAAGCCTCTCTCACGAAACTTCTCCCGATTTTATTTAACCTCTCTCTTCTAGTTTTTTTTTATTTTCATGTGAAAATAAACTTTCTTTCAGTCTGACAATAAATTTCCCATTCCTCAGCGGGTAGAAAAAAAAACTTTTTTTTCCCTTTGAAATACTCCAACTAGGACAGAAATAATGATAAAAATACATGTTATGTTTTTTGTAATTTTCTTGCCTTCTGTCGAGAATAATTATTGATACTAAAAATAATTATTATCGTATTCGATTATTTTTTTTCGTATTTTCTCCTCGTTCAGGTCATGATTGTTGTAAAATAATATTTAAAATTTTTGTTTCTGTTTATCACTGCCGCCCACTTTTAATAAGTTCCATTCGTGTCCCACGCACGTTTTTCCTATTGCAATAGTCATCAATTTATGTCAATGCCAAATTATTAAAGAAACATTTAAAGAAAATAAGAAAAATTCTTAAAAATAAATTAGTTAAATTTAATTTAAAAAAAAATCGTGAACAATAAAGATTTTGTTTTTGAAAATTTTAAAACAAAATCTTCATTGTTGACCAGTTTTTTTGTATTTGCGGTCAATACTCAATTAAAATTTTTATTGTACGTAAAATAAAATTAATTATTTTCCTTCTCTCTAATTTTTAAGAAAAGGAAAATTAAATTAATGTAATTAAAAAATTATTTTGTTTTCGAAAATTGGAAAATTAAAAGCAGAAAGAATATTTTTCTCTACTAATTTACATCATTAATTACAATTGCGATCAGTACATAAAAATGAAGACTCTGTTTATGATAAGTCGAGTGGAAATTTTAAAGAGATGTTTAAAAGTTAATTGAGCAATAATAGGTCAATAAATATTGTTCCCATTCGTGATGATCATTCGTCATAGAAGTTGTGTATGCTAATTAAGCGATCGTTTAAATTTCACGTTTTCAGTTCGTTTATTTTTCACCCTCTCGTGTCATGGAGAAAAAAATAAAAGAGTACAAAATACACGTGACGAGAGGAGGAAAAAAAAAGTGACAAAAGTCCACGTGCTCATTATCATGTACAAATAACAATGGAAATGTAACGAACAAAATTATTCTGTTTTCAATTTATTTTTACTAATGAGAGAAAAATAATTGAGAGAAAAAAAATTTTAAACAAAAATAAATGTAAAAAATATTATTTTCTTTTTAAAATTATTCTTCTTTCTTTTCTGTTTATTCAGGAAGAGAAAAAAAATTGTATTTAAAATTTTGCAAAAATTAAAATCTGAAATTATTATTATTTATTATTTTTTGAAAAATTTAATAAAATTCTTTGTAAAAATTCATTTACTTATTTTCAAAAATATCGAAAAATATCAACAAAACTCCAACTATTTTAATAAATAATAGAATTCGTTGCAAGAATTCAATTATTTTCATAAATAAAAAAAATTATTTGATAAAATATAAGCGGACAATTAACTAAAAATAAATTATTCCACTTTAGTCACAATTTTTTCACAAAGTTATTCCTTTCTCTCACGTTTTAACATTAATATTTAATAAATTATTTTAGTACTAATTTTATCGTAAATTTATTCCTTTTTTCGCATTTTAATAAATAAAAAAAAATATTCCTTTAATTTTTACTTCCAGACAATTAAATTGAACTCCTATTGAGGAAATACTCTTCTAAATAGTGAATCACTTGTTGAATCATCCGACAATACATTGTCATTATTCTACAATTTATTTCAGTTTCAAAAATTCTGAAACATTCAGACGTTCTTTTTAATTCTCGATTAATAAATATTACATAAATTTTTTTTACTCTTGCTTGCGCTATTTTTTAAGTTATGAAAAAATTGCAAAATCGATTTTCCGATGTGTGCTAATTTCAAGAAAGGACATTGATTTTCAAAGTAATTGTATTCGGGAAGGTTAACGAGACACGTAATGTTTCAACAAAACTTTGTTATCGCAATTCCATTATTTTCTACGCTATATACAATACATATGTGTATATTGAAAATTACAAGCGCAGTAAAATATAATACGAGAAATACCGTTTCCGGTAGTGATGACTAAATGGATATAATTAAGTCAGTGTATATACATATGGTCAAGTCTACATTCTTTACTTTTTTTCTTTCTTTTTTTTTTGTTTTGGTGAATTAACAGTTCTTGAGTCGAGACGGATGCTCTCGAGAAAATTTATATTCGCATCAATGAAAGAAATTTACGATTTAATTAAAGTGCACGAGATTCAAATAAAAGGGTGAAAAATTATTAAATTAAAATCTATTAAATTTAAATAAAAGTGAAAATTATATAAATAAATTAAAATTAAAAAAATTAATAAAATGCAAAATATAATAGAAAATAAATTACAAAATAAAAAGATGCGTGAAAAACGAGGAATAACTTTATGACAAAAATTTCCAAATTTCAGGTTTTTTAAAACTCTAATTTGAAAAATATCTAATTTTAAAAAAATGTACATTTTTAGAGATTCAAAATTTGTATTTGGAATAATCAATAATTATTGACCTATATATTCAAGTAATTGTTGAATAAACATGAATATTATAATCTAAATTCGATTTTCTACTAAAAAATTTTCACTTTAAAAGAAAATGAATTCAATAATTAAATTTTTTTCCGAAGTTGTGAACGTTCAATCCAACGAAATTACTACACAATAAATTGAAGAAACAAGTAAATTAAATTTTTACTTCTATAGAAATGAACTTTTTTAAATTCAAAAAAATATTTTTGTAAATTATTTTTTAAAATTTCTAATAAAATTCCAAATTCAAAGTATCAAAATGGGTTTTTTTTCAACGTTCTAAACTTTTGTCACTAAAGTTTTGAACGTTCAAATGAACCACAATATTTTTGTTATCGCTTTCAATTTATATTTTATTAATTAAAAATCTAATTTTCTACATAAAAAATTATTTTTTAACTAAGGAAACGTTGAATTTGGATTATTTTGCAATTAATAGTAATTTTTTGAGAATATTTAAATAGAATTGAAATTTTCGTTCATTAGAACGTTCGAAATTTTAGGAAAATCTAAATTTTAGAATTTAAAAAATAAATAAATAAATAAGAAGAAATATTAATTTAGTTTATTAAAAATGAAATTTCAACAAAGAAAGAAGAATTCATAGAGAATTCAAAAGAATTAGAAAACAAGAGAATAAAGAATTGAAAAAATTTCCAAATTCTATTGTCAATTGTTAAGAAAAAATTCTTTAAATCTCCTTAAAGTTTTGAGCGTTAAAATGAGCGCCAATACTTTTGTCACTACTTTGAATTTATATTTTACAAAAAATATTTTTTATAATTATAAAAATTAATTCTCAACAAAGTTGATAGTAAATTTAAATTACTTTTGAATTCAATATAGTAATTTGGACAAAAATATTTAAACAGAAAATAAAATTTAGTTCAAATGAACGTTCAAAATTTCCAAATTTATCAAATTCTTTCAAAGTTGGTGGTTTTAAATTACTTTTTAATTCAATAAAGTAATTTGGACATAAATATTTAAACAGAAAATAAAATTTAGTTCAAATGAACTTTCGAAATTTCATAAAATTTGTTAAATTGTTAACAAAGTTGGTGGTAAATTTAAATTGCTTTTAAATTTAATTTAATTTGAACAAATAATATTTCGACAGAAAATAAATTCAGTTCAATAGAACGATCAAAATTCAAAATAAAATTTCTTTTTAAAAAGTGTAACTAACCTTTTTTAAAGGGAAGGTCGCTTTTGCGACCTACACCTGCTGGTAAATAATTTTCTCCTGACTTGAAATAATATTTTCCTTGAAAAACTGTAACACTTGTTTTTTTTTCCTTCCTTCCTTCCTTTTCAAAACATAATCCAAGGTAATGACGATGACACTCTCATGACAATAATGTTTTGAAGAGTAAAAAGAAGAAAATTCCGTTTGACACACTTTCCAAGTCACTTCGATAGAAATTTAAGTTTCCACTTTCAATAGACAATTGGTATATAGAGTTGTTTATATTGCCAACAGGTAAAAGACAAATGTCAGTTCATTCGTGGAGCGTGTGATTCATTCTTCAATTCGTAGAGTGAATGACGAACGTTCGTCGTCTACTGTATAGTTTTCTGTTATGATCTGCGAACCCACCCCGGTTTCCATGGATTCATTCTCCCCGAGAACAGTGGTGGAAGGAGGGGGGGGGGACATGTGCCAATTGGAGCGACATGGTCTCGTGCGCTCTCATTGTCAAATAGAAAATCATATTTTTTTTTTTGCTGAAACAAACTTTTTTTAAAATTATTATTAAGATTGCAATTTTTAATAATTAAACAACAAATTTTCCCAGCGAGAATCTCTGTCACTCTCTCTATGAAATTGAACGATGATTTAGTTTTTTTTTTTGGGGGAATTTTCTCTGAAAATAGAAATAAAATTTATATATTTTTTATTAAAAATATTTCACGTGAGGCAATAATAATAAATTGTTCATTAATATTTGATCTTTAGAAATTTTCGAAATAAAAGGTGTAAATTTAGAAACAATTTCTATAAATTATGATAATGATTTTTATAATAAATAATAATAGTTTTTGTAAAAATAATAGTAACACTTTTTATAAGAAAAATAATTTCTATAAAAATAATAATAGTTTTTGTAAAAATAACAATTTTTACAAAAATAATAACACTTTTCGCAAGAAAAATAATTTCCATTATAATAATAATAGTTTCTGTAAAAATAATTATCATTTTTATAAAATATAAATTTAAAACTTGAAAGCTCCGAAAAGAAAAATTTGAATTCTTCATAAAATATGAGAAATTGAAGTGATAAATTGCTTTTCATAACTCTGTCAATCTGAAAGATTTATCGACTTTTTTTGAAAAGAAAAATTTATCATTTGATTTAATAATACGATTTAAAGTTCTTTTTTGTTAAATTCCCATTTGGAGAATATTTATTATTGAATATAAAGTGGAAATTAATTTAAAATCATAATTAAAATTTTCGAATCAGGATTTAAATTTCGCACAATTATCTTTAAGAAAAGTTGAGTTTTGTAAATTTTATTTTTAAGAAAAGTTGAGTTTCGTAAATTTATTTTTAAGAAAAGTTAAATTTTCGTAAATTTATTTATAAAAGAGAAATAAAAAGCAATGATGAAGGGTAAATGTTAAGCTAAAAAATATTCTTCACGAGTCAATGGATTTTAAGAGACTTTCACCATATTTTTACAAGGGTCTCACAGTAATTAAATTTAACTTTTTAAGGAAATTTCCCTTTAAATTTTCCCTGTCAATAAATCCCTTTCACACCCTCTATTATTATCAATATTGAAAAAAATAAAAAGGTTTTTTCTGAAGAAAATAAAATATTTTTATAAACGATATAGCAAATCATACTTGGGGAAAAAATTCCAAAATATAAATTAATAAATTAATTAATAATATATAATAGGTCATAATAATTAATAGGAAAAACTAAAAAACGGTTTCAACGAAAAGCAAATTTGAAAATTATAAAATAACTAAATAAATTATTGAGAAAACACGTAAAATAAATACTTGTTCGTGTTTATTTGCAACATTTTTATCTATCACAAAACATTCTTACATTATTATCTGAAGACATTTTTTATAAGTATTTTTTATAACATTTAACATTATTTTCCTATCGTAAATTTTGCAAAAACACGAATAAAATTCTTCTGTAATTGAAACAAAATTGTTTTTCACAAGAAATTCGTGTACTCATTATTTAATTGACGAATGTAGAATATATACACTGAATAAAATTGAAATATTTTTGTGCTTCTTGCATAGAATTAATTAAAATAGCGTGTAAAAAATAAAAATATTAAAAAGAAATTAATCTATATAAGTCTTGGGAAAAAAAGATAATTATTAAAATTATCATAAAGTAATGTTCTAAATTCTAAAAAAATGTTCTCTAATTAATATTATTTCGGAATAGAGAAGAATGTTCTTTTCTCACTTGTTTGTTCAGACGGAAAAATATTCTATAAAAAGATCATTCTTTCTATTGTTTTTTGGTAACATTTTGAAAAATAATTTTTCAAGTTACCTTTCATTTTTATTATGTGCGTGTTTTATTTGTTATTAGATATTTGATCAAGTATTTCGCCATTTTTCATGAATCTCTTGTAAATGTGCGTAAGCCCGACGAGAAACATTGAGAGCGGCATACATTGGACATAAATTCGATTCACCTAACAGGCTCAAACCGCTAAGACCTAAGCAATAAAAATTTTATTTTTAACTTTTTTTTTATCTACTCTATTGGGGTTAAAAAAATATTCTTTGGGGAAATTAGAATTCTTGCATGGGGTGAATTTTTAATTAAATAAAAGTGTGATTCTCCGTGTTACTTTTTTTAATATTAACTTTAATTTCTAAATAATTTCAAATTGTCAAAATTTAAAAAATCCACTTATTTAGTACTTAAAATTGTGACAATTTTATTTAGTGGACAATTTTTTGGGCACTACGTGGAGAATCACTTATATTTACTATTTTAATAGAAGTAATTAAATATATTTTGTAATTTTAGAAATGGATGAAAATTACCTAAATATGTGTGAAGTGGATCGGTAAGAAGATTCGGAGACTTAGCGAATCCTCCCATTAAAATGTCCTGAGTATCTAAAACGAAGACTCGATTCTCATGAGAATCGGATAAATGACTGACGCCCAACAGTTCTAAAGTGGCGCCTATCCAAAAACTGTAACACGTATCCGTTGGTTTTCCGGGCCTGCCTTGAAAACCACCATCCTGTCTCATAATGCACCATCTTCTTAGTCTACTCAATTGTTTATCCGACAACATATCTAATTTGTTCATTAAAAACAGGCTCGCAATGGCACAAAATGTCGAACCGCCGTGAGATTCCAAACCCGGCGCCTGACCAATCGCTCCATCATAGGACTAGAAAAAAAAGGAATTAAATAAGAAATTTTCAACAAAATTTTGCATTTTCCTTTTTTAAATTACTTTCATGATAAAAATAAAAGACGGAGAATAAAATTCCAAACCTTTAAATAACTTCCGAATTTTCTTTTTTTAAGTTACTTTCGAGAGATTAAAATTGGGCTGAAGAACGTAACGTTAAGAAATTATTATAAATAAAAATTAACAGAGAATAAAATTTGAAACCTTGGGAAAAATTGTATATTTTTAAATTTTTCGTAAGAAAAAAATACTTACTATGCTTCTTAGAATAAAATCAACAGCTTTTTGAACGTCAATTCCCGTCCAATCATTCAAAATATATGAAACACAACAGGCACAATAGAGAAATCTCATATCGCTTTCACAGCCAGCAATCATTCCAGAGAATGAACCATCGGGATTTTGGCAAGCTTCAATACCCTCAATAAGAGATTTACGATCAATTCGCGATAAATCATCGCCAAGAATTAATAATGATGCCAATCCCGTGTATGTCATTGCCAAATGACCAATAATATAATCATTCGAATCAATAATTGGTAATGTTGTTGATGCTAAAAATCCCGATTTTCTACCGGCATTGGTTATTTGTAATTTATATATCCAATCAATTGCAGCATTCTTCTCATTAACACTAAATTCATTTAATGAATCGAGAATATCAAGACCCGATATTGCAAAATATGCAATTGTCAATCTTATTGAGTCCATCATTGAAGAGTCGCACGATAACATTTGTAAAATTCGGCGAAAATATTTCGCGTGCACCTCCTTAAAGACTTGTTGATTCATTTTTCTGCTATTCAAAAACCCCTCGAGTGTTTAATACACAATAATAAAGTTGAAATTTCAAGTATTTTTGTAAAATGTTCTGTAATAAAAATATATTCTGAATGGTTGGGAAATAAATTGTTTAATAGTAAAAAAAGGGGAATTTTTAGGGAGAAACAAATTGAATTTTTTAAATTAATAATCGTTTCTAAATTAAAATTATTTTCATAATTATTTAATAGTAAATAAAGGGAATTTTAAGGAAGAAACAAATTGAATTTTTTAAATATTAAAATATTAATTCTATAAATTAAAATCTCTATAAATGAAAATTATTTTATAAATAGAAATTAGATTTCAAATTATAACAGAAATTGTGAAGAACATTTGTCTTCCATTTTCTTGAATTCTAAAGTCTAAAACAATTATTTATAGGTAATTTAAAAACAAAAAACATTTACGAATTTTCGATTTAAATGTTTAAAAACTTATGAAAAAATGTTTGTGCAAACACATAAAATTAAAAACACAAGAAAATATAGTTTTGTCGCAAAAAATATATAAAAACTTAACATAAACTCAATTTTTTTATAATTTCTTAATTACTTTCATAAATAGAATAATTTTTAAAAATAAATATTTAAAAATCTATTTATTTTGTCCAAAGGAATAATTTTATTTTAAATGATTTCAATGTAACGCATTTTTGGAATTCAACTATTTCTAAAAATTACAAAAGTAATTCTTTCAAAATTCAATCATTTTTTGTTGAGATTTAAGTATAAATAAGATTATTTAAAACTTTAATAATTTTATTTTATTCAATTCTAAATCAATTCTTATTAGAAAGTTCTACGAGGATTCAATTATTTAAATAATAAATAATTTATCTGAATAATTGAATATTTCTTAAATTTGAATTCTTATAAAGAACTTTATCAACATTTTTTAAAATAATTGAATTTTTCGCAGCATTTTATTCAAATTTTTAAGAATAATTGCGCGTTTTGAATTTCTTGAAAAATTGTATATTATTTATGAAAATAATTAAATTCTTTCAAAAATTTTTATTAAAATTATATTGAAAACAATTTAATTATTATAAAGAATTTAATTAAAATTTTGTTAAATAATATTGAATTCTTTCAAAGAGTTTTATTAAAATTTTTAAGAATAGTTGCATTTTCCGAGCAATTCATATAAAATTCTATTAAAAATATAATGAAATAGCAGAATTAATTTAAAAATATGTTAAAAATAATTTAAAATCCTGCGATGAGTTTTAATATTTATAAAAATAATTGAATTCTTTGAACTGATTCAATTATTTAAAAAAAATTTAAGAAAACTTTGCATAAGAATTCAATTATTTTTCAAATAATGACAATCTTTATATTTTTTTCAATATCTACCTACTATTTTAATCAAATTTCACGAAAGAATTCAATTATTTAAAAAAAATTTAATAAAATTCACGCAAAAATTTAGTTTTGTTTATAAATAATAAAACTTTTCTTAGGAATTCAATTATTTTTAAAAATTTTAATAAAATTTATTATAAGAATTCAATTATTTTCACAAATAATAAAAAAAATCAAAGCAGGATTTCAATTATTTTTAATAAAATTTTAAATCAATTTCTCGAAAAATGTAATTGTTTTTAAAGAATTTTATGAAAATTCTTCGAAAGAATTCGAAGATATTATAAAAAAATTTTATCAAAATTCTTAGTAAACAGAATTTTAATAACTTAAATAATTAAATATCTTTAAAAAATGTTTATTATTTATGAAAATAATTGAATTCTTTCAAAAATTTTATTAAAATAATATTTAAAATAATTCAATTATTATAAAGTATTTCTTTAAAATTTTTTTAAATAATTGAATTCTTTTAAAAAATTTTATTAAAATTTTCAAGAATAGTTGAATTTTTCGCGCGATTCATTTAAAAATTGTATTAAAAATAATTGAAATCTTGCAATGAGTTTTAATACTTACAAAAATAACACAGGCACACAAAAAAAAAAAGTTGTCTGTTCATTGAACCAGACCTACATGTCTTATAGTATTTTGGCCTCCTGAATACGAATATGAAGTCAGAATTGCTCCATCACCCTCTGTTTTTTTTTAATCGAAAAAACTACCCTTAAATAAAAAATTCAAGAACTAAATTAAAAAAAATGAAATAACCGCGGTTTTCTTCTGAGTAGAAGAATATATTTATGCGTATTCTTCTTTCAACAACATAGAAATAATGTCAAAATTGCTCCATCACCCTCTGTTTTTTTTAAATCGAAAAAACTACCCTTAAGTCTAAAATTCAAGAACTAAATTTAAAAAAATGAAATAACCGCGGTTTTCTTCTGAGTAGAAGAATATATTTATGCGTATTCTTCTTTCAACAACTTAGAAATAACGTCAAAATTGCTCCATCACCCCCTGTTTTTTTAAATCGGAGAAACTACCCTTAAATCAAAAATTCAAGAACTAAATTAAAAAAAATGAAATAACCGCGGTTTTCTTCTGAGTAGAAGAATATATTTATGCGTATTCTTCTTTCAACAACTTAGAAATAATGTCAAAATTGCTCCATCACCCCCTGTTTTTTTAAATCGGAGAAACTACCCTTAAATCTAAAATTCAAGAACTAAATTTTAAAAAAATGAAATAACATTATTTCTGAGTTGTTGAAAGAAGAAAACGCATAAATATATTCTTCTACTCAGAAGTTAACCGCGGTTATTTCATTTTTTTAATTTAGTTCTTGAATTTTTGATTTAAGGGTAGTTTCTTCGATTTAAAAAAAACAGGGGGTGATGGAGCAATTTTGACATTATTTCTGAGTTGTTGAAAGAAGAAAACGCATAAATATATTTTTCTACTCCGAAGGAAACCGCGGTTATTTCATTTTTTTTAATTTAGTTTTTGAATTTTTGATTTAAGGGTAGTTTCTTCGATTTAAAAAAAACAGGGGGTGATGGAGCAATTTTGACATTATTTCTGAGTTGTTAAAAGAAGAAAACGCATAAATATATTTTTCTACTCCAAAGGAAACCGCGGTTATTTCATTTTTTGTAATTTAGTTCTTGAATTTTAGACTTAAGGGTAGTTATCTCGATTTAAAAAAAAACAGAGGGTGATGGAGCAATTCTGACTTCATATTCGTATTCAGGGGGCCAAAATACTATAAGACATGTAGGTCTGGTTCAATGAACAGACACCTTTTTTTTTTTTTGTGTGCCTGTGTAATTGAATTCTTGCAACGATTATTATAAAAATTTTAAAACGTAATTGAACTCCTGAAAAAAATGTTATCATTTCTAAAAATAATTGAATTCTTGCGAGAATTTTATAAAAATCTGTAGTGTAAATTCTCAAACATGGAAAAAGTAGCTTTTTAGTGTAACAATTAAAAAAAGTATCCTAATAGTAGCAAAAGTTGTATTTTGTTTCAATACTTGGAAGAAAAGTCGAAAAAGTCGCATTTTCTTTAAAACAAGTCGAAGAAGTTGCCTTTTTGGAAAATAGTTGGAAAAAGTCCAAAAAGTCAAATTATCTAAGATTTGTCTTCATGAAAAAATGTTTGTGCAAACACATAAAATTAAAAACACAAGAAAATATAGTTTCACCGCAAAAAATATATAAAAACTAAACATAAACTAAAAATATAAAAATACTCTGAAAAAAACCACATTAATATATACAAGAGAAGAAAAATTTTTGTCTAATTTTTAAAAATCATAGGAAAAGAATACAAAATAGTACAAATTGACTTTTGGATTTCGATGATTTCGATCAAAAATAAGTATTTTTAAATTGTACCTGTTTTCCGATTATCGACGAAAACATCAAGTTAATTGCTGGAAAAATATAAGTAATAACATTGGCAATGTACTCTCAAACTGCTTCCTTGCAGAAAAATTAATATTTACTTATTTATAGACATAATCTATAAAAGTAGCTAAAAGTGTTTATAGGTTATGTTCTCTCATCCAACATTTAAAAATTCCAAATAAAATGTAATAATACTATTATTCGTTGTAACGTTTGCAGTATTGTGTAAATATATAACGGTAAACTATTTTTTCATTTATTCACTGTACTTTTCAAACTAAATCACTTGTTTTAAAATATATTTAAACGTCAAAATAATTTTTAAATTCATTGTCTATTTTTGTGCGTTCACTGATTTATCAGGGTTGGTAAACTCTTTTGCTTACTTTATTGTGGCGACTGCCGACCAATCAAATTTTGCAATGGCAAACATGTGAATGCACCTTTAGTCACTTAGTTCACACGTTGTCCGCTAGTTGCGCTGACTTAACGCCCTTCTACAATCGAGTTTCTCTACTTTGTCTGTACATTTCTCATTGATATAAAAATGTGATCATTTATCAATTTTTTAATCGTTTTCGTTTAATAAATATAAAATATTAGACAGTAGTGTAATTAGTATCGCGAACAAACAGTATTTCTTGTCATTAGTGAAGTTTTAAAACGGATGAGAGTAAATTTGTGTTGTGAAGTCCAAAGAAGACTTTTGTAGGTTATGTTATTTTTACAAATGTTTCAAATTTATATTATTGTACAGTGATTGTACAAATTTTACTTTTTTACTATTAATACCTTAATACATCAATAAAAAATGTATAATTTAATTACCGGCTCATTTTTACGTTATTCGGTTCGTGAAATTCAGAGACAAAAATGTTCTTTGTCTGTAAATGTTTATAAAAAGAATGTACCGGCTTTTATCACGGACAATTGTTATTCACCACAACAAATAACAAATAATCATTTATCAATAGATTCAGTTTCAAGTGACAACACTCAAAGTAAAATAATTAATTTCAATAAATCTCATTCGTATCATTGTCAATCAGAATTAAGAAGTGGAATTCTAAAAAGTGGATTATTCAAAAATTCTTTGAGGTTACCTCTAAAATTGAATGTCAGATATGAATCGAGTGGACCTATAGCGTTACCTCTAAAATTGAATGTCAGTTCGAGTGAATTACCTGATACGGATACTTTATCAGAAATTGCAGAAGAAGTCAGTGAAAGTGGATTTTTTGATTATGATGTAGCTGTAAATGCTATATTGAAAGATTTATCGGAAAGTCCATTGGCAAATGTTAGTCAAGAATTTTTACAAAGTATTCACAATGTTTCCGGTTTACCATGGTGGGGAACTATAATATTAGCAACAATCACATTGAAAACTGTGGTTTATTTGCCATTTGCTGTACAGCAGGTATGGATTTTTGTTTTATTATTATTATTTATTTTTTATAATTTTTTTATGATTTGAAAAAAACTTGATTCACTATTATTTTCTTTGAGAATTTTCTATAAAAGTAATTTAACCTAATATTTCAGCGACGAGCAATAATTTCATTAGAGAATGCACAAAAATCTTTCAATGAAAATTTGGAACTTTTAAGACAAGAAATAACAATGTCAATGAAAAAGTTAGGCTGGCCCGTGGAATACTCTAAAACCAAATATAAGGAAATGGTAAATATTTACTGTGTGAAATGAAAAATATATTGTCATAATAAAAAATTCTTTTTGGTAATTTCAGGCTTTGCACTCATCTACTAAAACCTAGTATTTACTACTTTTTTTTCATTTTTATGCTACTATTTGGGTACTTCTTTTAAAATTTCTGCAACTAAAAGCTACTATTTCTGTTTTTTTTTTTTTTGAGAATTTACTTTAAATTCGCTAATACTAGAAATCAAAAAACTATTCTCAAAAATTATAATCAAATTCATTAAAAATAATCAATTATTTTCAATATTTAGTATTTTCATTAAATTTCGCAAAAGAATTCAATCATTTAAAAAAATTAATTAAATTTCGCAAAAGAATTCAATCATTTAAAAAAAAATTAATAAAATTCATCCAAAATTCAATTATTTCCATAAATAATAAAACTCATCGAAGAATTTCAATTATATAAAATAAAATTTTCATAATATTTATTATATTTCGAAAAAATTAATTATTTAAAACAATTTTTATAAAATTCTTACTTATGAAGAATTCAATTATTTTTCAAAAATAACAAAATTTTTCACAGAAATTCAATTTTTTTAAAACATTTTAATAAAATTTTTCGCGAAAATTCAATTATTTTCATAAATCATAAAATTCTTCTCAGTAATTCAAATATTTTTGAAAATTTCAATAAAATTCTTAATAACTATTCAATTATTTTCATATATTTAATAAAATTCATCGCAGGATTTCAATTATTTTTTATACAGTTTTACGGGAATTGCTCAAAAAATGTAAATATTCTTAAAAAATTTGATTTCAATTTCTCGTAAAAATCAAGTATTAAAAAAAATGTTTTTTTTAAATTCTTTGGAAGAATTCAATTATTTACAAAAATATTAGAATTTTTCACAGGAATTCAATTATTTTCAACTATATTAATAAAATTGTTCGAAAGAAATCAATTATTTTAAATATAATTTTAATTAAATTTTTATATGTAATTCAATTATTATTCTTTTAGATTTTAATAAAATTCTTCCCAAGAATTCAATTATTTACATTAATAATTCTTCGAAAGAATTCAATTCTGTCGGTAATTAACAAAATTATTCCCGAAAATTCAATTCTTTTGAGTCATTTTAATAAAATTCTTAGCAACTATACAATTATTTTCATAAATTATAAAATTCGTCGCAGAATTTCAATTATTGTCCAAAATTTTAATAGATTTCTTTGTAAAATGTAATTATTCTTAAAAATTTAATTACAATGCAATTTTAATTAAAAATTGTTTAAAATAATTCAATTATTCTTTTAGATTTTAATAAAATTTGTTCCCAAGAATTCAATTATTTACGTAAATAGTTCTTCAAAAGAATTAAATTATTTTGATAATTAACAAAATTATTATCGAAAATTCAATTATTTTGAGGCATTTTAATAAAATTCTTTGCAAAATTCAATTATTTTTATAAATAACAATATTCATCACATAAATTCAATTATTTTTAAAAGTAATAAATTTCTTCTTGGAAATTCAATTTAAAAAAATTCTAATAAAATCGTTCGCAAGAATTCAATTATTTTCATAAATAATAAAAATTTCTCAGGAATTCAATTATTTAAAAATTTGCATAGGGTAAACGTACCAATTGTCGAGGATGGTTCCTGTTGTCGAGTAAACAAACTTTGAATTTTATTTAAACAGTGTAGCACATTGTAAATGAAAAAAAGTAATAAATATTAATTTTTTTATGCGTTATAAATGTGAAAAAAATATATTAATATTATATAAACAAACAAATGAGACATTTTAGACAATATTTTTTGGTTATTACCATGGTAACATCGACAAATGGAACACCCTCGGCAATTAGTACACTTACCCTATAAAATTCTTCGCAAGAATTAAATTATTTTCTATAAATATTTAAATTTTTCCATGAATTATGAAATTCGTTGCAGGAATTCAATTTATTAGCAGGATAAGAAAGGAGTAAATATTTTTGATGAAAATCAGGAAACAGTCAGAAAAATAAAATATAGAATGGAATTTTTGTCAGTTTTGTGAAGTGTCTGAAACGAGTTATTTTGATCATCAAGTTTAATATTTCGATAGCTACTGTTTTACTACTTTTTTTTAGTTCGATAGTTACTTTTTGCTACTTTTTTAAAATTAATTAACGAGTGTGAAGTCTGTAATTTATAGAATTAAAATTTCACTTTGAAGCTTTTTTTTACTGTAAATTTTTTTACTTGTCTTATTTTTACTTTAAAATGTACGTCTATTAGACTCAAAAGTAATATTTTATAGTTAATAAAGTTTCATTAAATTTTAATTCTAAAAGAATTTAATAAAAATTACTTTTCAAAATTGAAAATTTTATTTAATTTAAATTTCTTTTTTAATTCAGATGAAAGAGGTATGGAAGAGAGCATTGAAGGATGAAAAAACACATCCAATAAAAGCTATCGCATGTGTTTCAGTACAATTTACAACTTGGTTAGCAATGACCGTGGCACTTGGAAATATGTGCTGTGCTTATTCATTTATAGATCTCGGTAATTAGTTTTTTTTTATCATTAGACAGTCCATTTGAGACTATTTTTAAGAAAGACGACTTTTTCGAATTATTTTGCAAAAAAGAGTCTTTTTTCGATTTATTTTCAAAGAAATGAGACTTTTTCGACTCTTTTTCCGAATATCGAAATAAAATACAATTTTCTTGGTATAAAACGCAACTTAGTTCGCTTTTTATAGTGAGAAAAATAACCAGAGTAGAAGGTTTCAATAATTTTTATTTTTTACCAAATTTTTCATAGAAAATTAAATTTTAAAAATTGCTCATCAGTTTTATATACTTTTAATGGTTTTAAAAATTCAATTATTTTCAAAAAATTACATTTTAACATTTTTAGAAAACTAATTCTTAGAATTTTTTACCATATTTTTTTGATATTCAATTATTTTCAAAAAAAGTTTCACTAAATTTCCATTATTTGGAAATTTTTCAATTATTTATAATTTACTTTTCTATAACATAATTTAAAATTGAAAAATGAATTATATTTTGCAATATAATTATAATTTTAAATATTTTTAAAAAACTAATTTTGAGAATTTTTTAAAAAATTAATTATTTTTATTATCTTTGGTTACACATTTTTAATAGGTTGTTTTAAAAAAATGATGATTTTAAGTTTGTAAAAAATTAAATTTTTGCATTAAATAATTAAAAATAAAATAATAAAATAATTAAATTGTCGAAGAACTGATGGAAAAATATATTTAAAAAAAATTGATTTTGAGTAGAAATTTAGTTAAAATTTCTGGAAAATAATTCGAATTTTAAATTAATTATAGTTGCAATTTTTAGAATTAATGAAATTTCAAAATGCTTGGAATTGAAATTAAAATTGAAATAATTGTATTTCCCTTGTAAAAAGAAATGATTATTAAAATCTTTATTTAACAAAATTATTCAACTTTTGAATTATTGAATTTAGAAATCAAACAAAGATGAAAGAAATAAAAATAGAATTTTCCATTCAACACTGAATAAAATAAACAAGTTTTTCAACTCGACTTTAGCGACTTTTTTTGCTCTTTAAAGTTGATCCGAGGGGTTAATGTGAAAGAATTTAATAAATATTAAATTAAAGAAATAATTAAATTAATTAAATATTGATTCTATTAAATCTTTATTGTCTTTTAAATTTTTTCAGCCAATGTGCCTGTCTACTCTGAATTGACAACCGGTGGAATTGAATGGTTAACGAATCTTACAGTACCAGATAGTTCTTTATTATTGCCCATAGCTGTTGGTGCAATAAATCTAAGTATTGTCGCAGTAAGTAATTCCATAAGTACCTAAATAATTTATTTAAAATTATCATTATACAATTATTAAGGCAGAATTAAACGAATATTTTATTTTTCAGTTGTATTACACGAATTATAAAAATCCAACAATTATTCAAAAATCTACAAGTGCTATATTTGGGCTGCTCTCTTTAGGAAGTCTACCACTGGCCATGCAGTTACCATCGGTATATACATTTATTAGTTATTGTTTTTTTTTGCAAATTAAAAAAAGAAAATTATTTTGTTTTGCACATTTAAAAAAATTTAATACATATATAAATTTTGGTTTGCAAATGAAAAAAAATTAATATATAAATTTTGTTTTGCAAATTCAATAAAATGTAGTATGTAAATTTATATTGCAAATTTCAAAAAATTTAATATATGACTTGAATAGTTAATACTTATAGTATACTGTAATAAAAATTAAATTTATTTAATTTCAGGGAGTAGTCTTATACTGGTTGGGAAGTTCTCTTTATGGCTTGATTTTCAATCTAATCTTGTTGACATCTACTGGTCAAAAAGTATTTAGAATTCCAAAATTAAAAACTCAAAGTGAATTGAAGCATGAGGCTAAGGACAAATTTTCAGAACATCAAGAAAAATTACATTCTAATTTGAATCAGAAAAAATTGAAACAAAAATATAAGGAGATTTAGATAAACGAAAACGAAATTATCTACGGAAGTAAAGGTAAATGTAAATACAATTAAACAACAAAAATAAACGAAAAATATAATTAGTTTCATAAGTATGAAAAAAATGTTTTTTCGAAAATATTTTTTCCCATAGAAAATAAAATCAAAGCTCTCTAGTCTCAAAATATATTTCATTTAGTAAATTTATTATTTAAATCTATTTAAATTTGTCTAAATTTATCTAAATTTATTATTTTAAATTTATCTAAATTCATTATCAAATTTATCATTTAAATTTATTTTTTATTATCAACATTTATCATTTACATTTATTTTTTATTATCTATATTTAATTTTTTTTTGCTTTTAATTTATTACATTAAAAATATTTGATTTTTAATTCTTTAGTCGAACTTTAAAATAACTATTATATTTTTTATTATATTTCATACTAAATAATCAATTTTTTCTAAATAAGTAATTAATTAATTTTATTTTAATTCTTTAAATTAAATATTTTAATTACCAACAGAAATTAATATTGAAAATTTATTTTTAATGAAAAAGAAAATTCAATATAATTCTAATAATTGCCATTTTTTTGCAAAATAATAATAAATTTATAATAATAAACCTAAAACAAAAAGGAAAAAATTCTTTGCTTTATGTTCATTATTAATAATTTCATTTCAATTGTATTAAAATTTTATTAATTTTCTTATGAACTTTATATGGAAAATTGACAAAAGTTTTTGATTTTCGCTTGGTATTTTTTACTAGGCTTATTATTGAAATTTTATTATTATTATTATTAATTTAACTGAATTGAAAAAGGAATATTTAATACGAGTTAATTAAAAATGATTGCAAATAATTTTCTACTTGGGAAATAGTGATTGAAAATCAATACTTTTCTGGTTAAAAGAAAACGTAAATTATTTTCTTTATCAGAGCGTCGTTGACATGAAAAAAGGAGAGTTATTTTATCCCTTCTTTTCCTTTATTTCCATAAAGCAGAAAATTTTACTCCTAGGTAATTTTAACTTTTTTCAAAAAGAATTGATATTCTACAACAATTTTACCCTTTTTTTTATGTAAAATGGATTTTGATTAAAATTTAATTATTTGATAAAAAAAACAGTATTTAATTATTAAATAATAGAAATGTTGAGCATAATTTTATTTTGCGAAATAATTTTATTTTATCTAAAATTTAATTATTTGATAAAAAAAGTATTTTTAATAATTAACAAATATGTTGAGCATAATTTTTTTTGAGCGATTTAAACATTTATTTTCGCAATGAATTTTATTTTGTCCAAATCAATTTTTGAATTATTTGAAACTTTGAAATAGCGCCAACGGAAACGGAAACGGAAACTGAATTTTGTAAAGTAAAGAACAAGGACGTTATAAATAGAATAGAAAAATAATGCAAAGGACAAGTTTCCAAACTTCGCCACCAGGTGCGCAACGATCGAATGTTGTATAGTTACATACAAATTATGCAACTTCAGATCGTAGCGCTCGCGGTGACGAGAACAGAAAGCGTTCCCTCCACCCCTAAATTTTCCAAGAGTTGAATCTATGCAGGTAGTTGCCCAGCCCTGCTATGAATATTGGACAAGAGCTTCCCGCCTTTTAGTAGTCCCACCATATTACAGATTGTGGTCTTGCAGTGACAATAATAACAGTGATTTTGATAGTTTGCTAAGCAATATTTGAGTGAAAAAAGAAAAGTGTATAGTATAAAAATGGGAAAATCTTCATTATTAATAGTGGGAGAATAAAACTAAAGAAAATTTGGGAGTGATTGAGTGATTATTAAGACAAAAGAAGTTCCGCCGAAAAAGTTCATCGAACGTTCAGGTTAGATTACGTTTCCATTGTTGCTACTTTTTATTCCAATAATTTTCAATGTTAACATACATTACTCAGCGAAATGTTACTTTTTTCTGAAAGATAAATATTCATTTGATACAAGACAGTGATTTTTTGTGTTTTGGAGGTTATAATGCAACTTTTTTTTCATGATTCAAAATCTGTTGCACACTTCCAATGCACGCTATCGACTTTATTACAAAATTATATTTTTGCATAAAATATGTAATATTATTAACTTTTTTTCAAAAGAAATGTACTATTTTGCAGTGATTTTCTAATATACAATCAAATTTTCAAAAGATAGTGTTTGATTTTGCTTTCACGATATTTAATTTTTGGGCTTTTTTCATTCCTACGAAATTGTAATGCTTGGAATTTTTTTCTACAAAATTTCCGTTTCCTAAAAAATGTCAAGTCAGTACAGTTATTTTTATTAAATTACTACAAGGTTGCCACAGGTCAAGGAAAAGTCAGGGATTTTTTATTAAAGTACTGAAAAAAATTGAATTTTGGAGAAGTTACAGATGATTGCAGAAATTCAATTATTTTCATAAATAATAAAAAATTCATAGGAAGTCAACTATTTACAAATTTTTTATAAATTTCTTCGCAATAATTCAGTTATTTTCATAAATAATAACATTTTTTACAAAAATTTAATTATTTTTATGAATAATAAATAATAATGAATAATAATAAAATTTCAATTATTTTTAATATACAATTTTAATCAAATTCCTCAAAAAATTTAATCATTCTTAAAAATTTTATTAAAATTCCTCCAAAAAATTCAATTATGTTGATAAAATTCTTTATGATAATTCAATTTAGAGAAACATTTATTTATTCAGTAAATTATTTGTTTTCGTATTTAAATAATTAAATTCTCGTGGAATTTGCTATAAACATTGATTTAAAAATTAATTAATAATAATGAATATATTAAAAGCATTTTAGCATAAATTTTTAAAAATAATTGATAATTGAATTTTTTCAAAGAATATTAATTAACATTATAAAAATAATTACATTTTTTAAAGAATTTACTTAAAATTGTATTAAAAATAATTGAAATCCTGTAAAGAATTTTATTAATTTATAAAAGTAATTGAATTTTTGCAACAAATTTTATCAAATTTTTTTTTAATAATTGAAATAATGTAAAGAATCTTATTATTTTTTAAAATAACTAAATTCCTTCAACGAATTCTATTACAAGTTTTTAAATAATTCAATTCTTTTGAGAACTTCTATTAAAATAGTAGATTTTGAAAATATTTTAATTTCTAAGAAGAATTTCATTATATTAATGAAATGTAATTATACTCTTGCAAAAAATTAAAAAAAAATTTAAAAAATTAAAAAAAAACAGTTAAAATCCTCAAAAAAATCATTACAAAAAAAGATTTTTCATCTTTTGCTGATTATCGGCTGTGGTTACTTTTTATGAATTGAAAATTAAATTATTTTTCAAGACTCAGACAATTTTTGGAAGTGTTCTAGTAATAGTTTAGGACTAGTAAAATATTTTTTGACTGCCAATTGTTAGTAAACAGAAGATCAAGTTCGGTCAAAAAATAATTTTCCATCTTCTGCTGATTGGCGGCTGTGGTTACTTTTTATGAATTGTAAATTAAATTATTTTTCATGACTCAGATAATTTTTGGAATTGTTCTAGTAATAGTTTAGGACCAGCAAAATATTTTTTGACTACCAATTGTTAGAAAGAAATAGAGAAAGTTCGGTCAAAAAATAATTATCCAGGCTCGGTGAAACTAGCGACCCGCCGGCCGTCAGCCATCAGATAAATCCATAGGCGCCGACACACATAGTAGCGCGGTGTCCCAATTCGGTTCAATCAACGCAAAAAAAACGTACGCTAGCTAATACAGTTTATAGCAAAAATTGCAATAGTCACATTTTATTAAAGAACAATAATCCCCCTTTAATTTGTGACCAAGAAATAAAAATTTGGTCTAAAATTGTTCGAGTTATGAATTTTTTTTCAATTTTTCTCCAATTTTCGTTTCTCTGATACGGGCGAGTGGGAACGTTGTCTATCATAAATTTATTTAAAAAATTTTCAATTGTCACATTTAGAGGAGCAATAATCACCCTTTACTCAAAAAAACGAAAATTAGAAAAAAAATCGAAAAAAAATTCATAACTCGAACAATTTTAGACCAAATGTTTATTTCTTGGTCGCAAATTAAAGAGGGATTAATGCTTCTTTTCATTGGACCAATAGGAATTTTTTAAAACAATTTTTGATAGCCAGCGTCCCCACCCGCCCGTATCAGAAAAACGAAAATTTGGGAAAAAATCGGAAAAAAATTCATAACTCGAATAATTTTTGACCAATTCTTTGTTTCTTGGTCGCAAATTAAAGATCGATTAATGCTTCTTTTCATTGGACCAATAGGAATTTTCTAAAACAATTTTTGATCGCCAGCGTCCCCACCCGCCCGTATCAGAAAAACCATAATTTGGAAAAAAAGTTCAAAAAAAATTCATAACTCGAACTATTTTAGACCAAATGTTTATTTCTTGGTCGCAAATTAAAAAGGGATTCATGCTTCTTTTCATTGGACCAATAGGAATTTTTTAAAACAATTTTTGATAGCCAGCGTCCCCACCCGCCCGTATCAGAAAAACGAAAATTGGGGAAAAAATCGGAAAAAAATTCATAACTCGAATAATTTTTGACCAATTCTTTGTTTCTTGGTCGCAAATTAAAGATCGATTAATGCTTCTTTTCATTGGACCAATAGGAATTTTCTAAAACAATTTTTGATCGCCAGCGTCCCCACCCGCCCGTATCAGAAAAACGATAATTTGGAAAAAAAGTTCAAAAAAAATTCATAACTCGAACAATTTTAGACCAAATGTTTATTTCTTGGTCGCAAATTAAAGAGGGATTCATGCTTCTTTTCATTGGACCAATAGGAATTTTTTAAAACAATTTTTAATAGCCAGCGTCCCCACCCGCCCGTATCAGAAAAACGATAATTTGGAAAAAAAGTTCAAAAAAAATTCATAACTCGAACAATTTTAGACCAAATGTTTATTTCTTGGTCGGAAATTAAAGGGGGATTATTGCTCTACGAAACGTGACAATTGAAAATATTTTTAATAAATTTTTGATAGCCAGCGTCCCCACCCGCCCGTATCAGAAAAACGATAATTTGGAAAAAAAGTTCAAAAAAAATTCATAACTCGAACAATTTTAGACCAAATGTTTATTTCTTGGTCGCAAATTAAAGAGGGATTAATGCTTCTTTTCATTGGACCAATAGGAATTTTCTAAAACAATTTTTGATAGCCAGCGTCACCACCCGCCCGAATCAGAAAAACGAAAATTGGGGAAAAAATCGGAAAAAAATTCATAACTCGAATAATTTTTGACCAATTCTTTGTTTCTTGGTCGCAAATTAAAGAGGGATTAATGCTTCTTTTCATTGGACCAATAGGAATTTTTTAAAACAATTTTTGATAGCCAGCGTCCCCACCCGCCCGTATCAGAGAAACGATAATTTGGAAAAAAAGTTCAAAAAAAAGTTCATAACTCGAATAATTTTTGACCAATTCTTTGTTTCTTGGTCGCAAATTAAAAAGGGATTAATGCTTTTTCTCATTGGACCAATAGGAATTTTTTAAAACAATTTTTGATAGCCAGTGTCCCCACCCGCCCGTAGCAGAAAAACGATAATTTGGAAAAAAAGTTCAAAAAAAAATTCATAACTCGAACAATTTTAGACCAATTCTTTATTTCTTGGTCGCAAATTAAAGAGGGATTCATGCTTCTTTTCATTGGACCAAAAGGAATTTTTTAAAACAATTTTTGATCGCCAGCGTCCCCACCCGCCCGTATCAGAAAAACGATAATTTGGAAAAAAAGTTCAAAAAAAATTCATAACTCGAACAATTTTAGACCAATTCTTTATTTCTTGGTCGCAAATTAAAGAGGGATTCATGCTTCTTTTCATTGGACCAATAGGAATTTTCTAAAACAATTTTTGATCGCCAGCGTCCCCACCCGCCCGTATCAGAAAATCGAAAATTTGGAAAAAAAGCTCAAAAAAAATTCATAACTCGAACAATTTTAGACCAAATGTTTATTTCTTGGTCGCAAATTAAAGAGGGATTAATGCTTCTTTTCATTGGACCAATAGGAATTTTTTAAAACAATTTTTGATTGCCAGCGTCCCCACCCGCCTGAATCAGAAAAACGAAAATTGGGGAAAAAATCGGAAAAAAATTCATAACTCGAACAATTTTTGACCAATTCTTTGTTTCTTGGTCGGAAATTAAAGGGGGATTATTGCTCTACGAAACGTGAGAATTGAAAATATTTTTAATAAATTTTTGATAGCCAGCGTCCCCACCCGCCCGAATCAGAAAAACGATAATTTGGAAAAAAAGTTCAAAAAAAATTCATAACTCGAACAATTTTAGACTAAATGTTTATTTCTTGGTCGGAAATTAAAGGGGGATTATTGCTCTACGAAACGTGACAATTGAAAATATTTTTAATAAATTTTTGATAGCCAGCGTCCCCACCCGCCCGTATCAGAAAAACGATAATTTGGAAAAAAAGTTCAAAAAAAATTCATAACTCGAACAATTTTAGACCAAATGTTTATTTCTTGGTCGCAAATTAAAGAGGGAATCATGCTTCTTTTCATTGGACCAATAGGAATTTTTTAAAACAATTTTTGATAGCCAGCGTCCCCACCCGCCCGAATCAGAAAAACGAAAATTGGGGAAAAAATCGGAAAAAAATTCATAACTCGAACAATTTTAGACCAAATGTTTATTTCTTGGTCGCAAATTAAAGAGGGATTCATGCTTCTTTTCATTGGACCAATAGGAATTTTTTAAAACAATTTTTGATAGCCAGCGTCCCCACCCGCCCGAATCAGAAAAACGAAAATTGGGGAAAAAATCGGAAAAAAATTCATAACTCGAATAATTTTTGACCAATTCTTTGTTTCTTGGTCGCAAATTAAAGAGGGATTAATGCTTCTTTTCATTGGACCAATAGGAATTTTTTAAAACAATTTTTGATAGCCAGCGTCCCCACCCGCCCGTATCAGAGAAACGATAATTTGGAAAAAAAGTTCAAAAAAAAAATCATAACTCGAACAATTTTAGACCAATTCTTTATTTCTTGGTCGCAAATTAAAGAGGGATTCATGCTTCTTTTCATTGGACCAATAGGAATTTTCTAAAACAATTTTTGATCGCCAGCGTCCCCACCCGCCCGTATCAGAAAATCGAAAATTTGGAAAAAAAGCTCAAAAAAAATTCATAACTCGAACAATTTTAGACCAAATGTTTATTTCTTGGTCGCAAATTAAAGAGGGATTAATGCTTCTTTTCATTGGACCAATAGGAATTTTTTAAAACAATTTTTGATAGCCAGCGTCCCCACCCGCCCGTATCAGAAAAACGAAAATTGGGGAAAAAATCGGAAAAAAATTCATAACTCGAATAATTTTTGACCAATTCTTTGTTTCTTGGTCGCAAATTAAAGATCGATTAATGCTTCTTTTCATTGGACCAATAGGAATTTTCTAAAACAATTTTTGATCGCCAGCGTCCCCACCCGCCCGTATCAGAAAAACGATAATTTGGAAAAAAAGTTCAAAAAAAATTCATAACTCGAACAATTTTAGACCAAATGTTTATTTCTTGGTCGCAAATTAAAGAGGGATTCATGCTTCTTTTCATTGGACCAATAGGAATTTTTTAAAACAATTTTTAATAGCCAGCGTCCCCACCCGCCCGTATCAGAAAAACGATAATTTGGAAAAAAAGTTCAAAAAAAATTCATAACTCGAACAATTTTAGACCAAATGTTTATTTCTTGGTCGGAAATTAAAGGGGGATTATTGCTCTACGAAACGTGACAATTGAAAATATTTTTAATAAATTTTTGATAGCCAGCGTCCCCACCCGCCCGTATCAGAAAAACGATAATTTGGAAAAAAAGTTCAAAAAAAATTCATAACTCGAACAATTTTAGACCAAATGTTTATTTCTTGGTCGCAAATTAAAGAGGGATTCATGCTTCTTTTCATTGGACCAATAGGAATTTTTTAAAACAATTTTTGATAGCCAGCGTCCCCACCCGCCCGTATCAGAGAAACGATAATTTGGAAAAAAAGTTCAAAAAAAAGTTCATAACTCGAATAATTTTTAACCAATTCTTTGTTTCTTGGTCGCAAATTAAAAAGGGATTAATGCTTTTTCTCATTGGACCAATAGGAATTTTTTAAAACAATTTTTGATAGCCAGTGTCCCCACCCGCCCGTAGCAGAAAAACGATAATTTGGAAAAAAAGTTCAAAAAAAAATTCATAACTCGAACAATTTTAGACCAATTCTTTATTTCTTGGTCGCAAATTAAAGAGGGATTCATGCTTCTTTTCATTGGACCAAAAGGAATTTTTTAAAACAATTTTTGATCGCCAGCGTCCCCACCCGCCCGAATCAGAAAAACGAAAATTGGGGAAAAAATCGGAAAAAAATTCATAACTCGAATAATTTTTGACCAATTCTTTGTTTCTTGGTCGCAAATTAAAGAGGGATTAATGCTTCTTTTCATTGGACCAATAGGAATTTTTTAAAACAATTTTTGATAGCCAGCGTCCCCACCCGCCCGTATCAGAAAAACGATAATTTGGAAAAAAAGTTCAAAAAAAATTCATAACTCGAACAATTTTAGACCAAATGTTTATTTCTTGGTCGCAAATTAAAGAGGGATTAATGCTTCTTTTCATTGGACCAATAGGAATTTTTTAAAACAATTTTTGATAGCCAGCGTCCCCACCCGCCCGTATCAGAAAAACGAAAATTGGAAAAATAAATCAAAAAAAAATTCATAAGTCGTGCAATTTTGGGCCAAATGTTTATTTCTTGGTCACAAATTAAAGGGGGATTATTGCTCTTTAAAATTGTGACTATTGCATTTTTTTCTATAAACTGTAATAGCTACACGGAGAGAAAAAACAAGGCTTTTCCCCATGAAAAAATACGCATTTAACGCGTGAAAATTATCACAGTAAAAATGCAGGACGCTCACAGGTTTTCCCGGTGAGATTCTAGGGCTAAGGCGTGGCCTAACCGCTAAACGCATGAAATTCATCGGGAAATCCGGTGAAACTGCTACCTGAAAAGGCATGAATTGAAGTCACGGGGAAAAGCCTTGTTTTTTCTCTCCGTGTAGCGTATGTTTTTTTTGCGTTGATTGAACCATATAGGGCTACCGCGCTACTATGTGTGTCGGCGCCTATGGATTCTTCTGATGGGTGGCGGCGGGCGGGTCGCTAGTTTCACCGAGCCAAATATTTTTTGACTGCCAATTATTAGTAAATAGAAGATCAAGTTCGGTCAAAAAATAATTATCTATCTTCTGCTGATTGGCGGCTGTGGTTACTTTTTATGAATTGGGAATTAAATTATTTTTCATGACTCAGATAATTTTTGGAATTGTTCTAGTAATAGTTTAGGTCCAGTAAAATATTTTTTGACTGTATATTGTTAGTAAACAGAAGATCAAGTTCGGTCAAAAAATAATTTTCCATCTGCTGCTGATTGGCGGCTGTGGTTACTTTTTATGAATTGGGAATTAAATTATTTTTCATGACTCAGATAATTTTTGGAATTGTTCTAGTAATAGTTTAGGACCAGTAAACAATTTTTGTTCCAAGAATTGTTAGTAAACGCTGTAGATATCCGATTTTGCTGATCCTGTGACTTCCCTCTCTTAGGGTTTTTATAAAGTCAGATTCTCATGGACGAGTAAAAAAATATTTTCTTTTTTATTTTTCAAATATATTTTTAGTTTCTTTATTTTCCTTTTAAAAACCCATCTGGTGTGCTTCACAGATGCTGGATTTCGACGGTAATTTTCATTCTTTATGGCGAATTGATATATTACAAGGTAAAGGAAATGTGTGCATTAAAATAAAGGACTTTGGGTTTTTATGATTAAGAATTATTTAAGCAGATTTCGTACGTACACGTTTCAGTTTATTATTAAATTAAATGTTGACACAGGTTATTGTATGTCGTACAGCGAGTTTGTGTATGGATAGAGGTCCCTATCTAATAGTGTAATACAATTAACATTATTTAAATACAAGTTTGTGTAGGTGTAATAGAACAAATGGGTGGTTTTCTTCTCTTTAAATTTTCTTAAACAATAATAATAATAATTAAAAGAAATAATTAGCGATCAATTTAATTAAAATATGATGATCTTGAATGCGATGATGTTTATATTATTGTAATGCATTTGATGTGTTCCGCTTTTTGGATTAAGTACCTCGAATCAACAGTTGGTGTGGCTTATTATATCGATGAAAAAATAATTCGTCTTTTTTTTTTAGTTAAATGTTGTTTTGATTTGCTCCACATTGATTCGTAGACCTCTCCTCCTAACGATTATTCATTCCTGGTGACAGAAATATATAATTATTGATAATAGTTATGGTAAAGTATTACGATTATAACTTATATTCTGTTCTTTTTCTTTCTTTGGACGCGATCTGAAGAAAGTGACTTTAAGAGAAAGTAGTTTTAGTTGGACTGGATTCGCCTTTCTTCAGATTAGCGAATAGTGAATCACATTTTTTGGTATTGTTGGGTTCTTTAGGAACTTTAGGATTGTCATATAGGTAAGGAAAATCAGGAAATTCAGGAGAAAGAAAATTAAATTTTTGTTGCAACCCTGATCAACTTTTTGATAGACTTACGTTTGCGGAGATGAAGTTGTGTTGTAGTAGCAGGGGTACGATTTCATAAGGATGTGCGAATTAAATGTCCTGCCTCGTCTCTTGTACGAGGTAAACCTGTGAGCCAGGAACAGACGAGGTGGTGACAAAGCTACGGTGTTTGGCGCGGATTAATGTCAGGTTGCTCTCCGCTGTGTCTGCACGATCTTCGGCTGCTTCCAATTCACGTTGGAATCGACGGACTCTCGTCACACTCTGTTGGGACATACCTTCTTGTTCCTGGAGTTGTCTCTTGTAAATACTTACTTTTTGTGATGCTTTATCTAAACATTCTTGCAATAATGCAACATTCTTGGAGTCTTCCTCCACTTGGATCATGACCTCCTTAATGTTGCGCTCCTTTTTACGAAGAATTTTCACTGTTTCCGAATGTCTGCGTTTCTCTTCGTCGAGTTCCAATTCTAAGTCACGAATCTGGGGAAAAGTTGAAATTGAAGATGAAAGTTGAAATTGAAGAAAAAGTTTAATTTGAAATAAAGAAAATAAAAGAGAAGGAATAATTTAAGGAAATGTTTCTTACTCTGGCTTCGAGTTTGCTGATGATTCGTTTACCACCGACGATGGCATTGGCTTCGACTTCTTCTAAACGGATCGAAAGGTTCTTTACTTCTATTTCAAGGGACTTCTTAATGGCCTCAATTTTGACTATACGTTCCTGTTCTTCGTGAAGTATTTCGACAGTGTGCTTCAATTCGTTCTGTACTCGTTGATATCTTTCGTCACTCACTCTCAATTCTTTGGTCACTTCTTCATAATCACCGGCCAAAACTGTAATCTCTTGTTCTAATTTCGCTTTGGAAGATGCAATGTTAACGTTTATTGTTGTCAATTCATTGATACGACTGACTGATTCCTCGAATTGTTGTTCCACGTTCCTCTTTGCACGAAGGGCCTGTGAAAAACGAAAAATACTCAAATTCCATTCAATTTTTTGAAAAAAAACCCCAAAAATTTAAACATTTAAAGATATTTTTACAAAGTGAAATTACTCACAGATTCATAATTGCCGCGAACTTCTTCGAGTTCAGCAGTCAGAGATTGTAGACGTCTTTGGCTGATGCCCAATTGGTCTAATGTTACTTGCAATTGACGTTGAACTTCATCGTAGTGTGCTTGCAATTCCTAATTTAAAAAATATAAAACAGTGTATTAAATAACTGATATTAAAATATAATTGGCAATTAAATAAGATCTTAATATAATTGGCAATTGTTATTATTGGCAGATTTATTTAAATTCCTGAGCATCAACTTACCGTTAAAGTGAGAGATTGTTTCTTGATTGTCTTCTGTAAATCAAGGTTGGTCTTGTTTGCCACATCCAATGATAATTCTAATTCAGTGATTTGCATCTGCATCTTCTTCTTGACACGTTGTACTTCAGTCTTCAATTTTGTCTCAGCTTCTACTACACGTGCACTCAATTGCTCAATTTCGATACTTGTTGCCTTACTGAAAAATAAATCAGTTGCATATTTCAAATAAAAGTAAATATTTTTTCTTCTTACTCTATAAATCTGAATGAACGAACACTGACGATTTTTCAGAGATGATTAGGTTTCTAATTAGTAAAATTTACTGATTCTAATTATTTACTAATAAAATTAGTAAATTTTACTAATCAATAGCAATTTCTACTAATTTATTAGTAAAATTTACTAATTCAAAAGCAAAAATCAGTCACTACTTCAAATTAATAAAAATATTTAAGTACTAATTCAAATTTATAGAGAAACTGGATGATATATTGATATTAAATTTCTTAATAATAATTAATAATACTAATAATATTGCTATATTATAAACTTGTTCCTTTGTCTTGTAATATAAAAGACATCACCTTACGTCGTTTGTAATGTTATTCATTTAATAATGAGATGTAATGATGTTATTAGATTTTAAACTCTGTTACTCTGATGATATTCACCGTTAACTCGAAAGTATCAAATTGTACCGAAAATATGGTTCAAATAAAAAATTGATTATTTCAATATCAATTTGATCCAATTTGTTATTAATTTGATACTTTTGAGAAAACTGTGATTAACTGTGTTAATCGAACACAGAAATTTTTCTTTTTTTTACTCCTATACCTTGTGTCTGAGAAGTAATTGCTAGTTTTTTCTTCATAACATTTAAGTTGTCGTTTTAAAGCGGACAGTGGTTCGGTTATTTTTTCCATTTCCGATAAATTTGATTGCATTTCTTCTATTATTTGACGATGTTCAGATTCTTCACGATGTGCATGATGATGATGATGTTGTTGTATCGTTACTTCTTTTTGCAATTTTCTTATGTCAGCCATTTCATGTGCTCGTGATAAATTTTTGAAACATTCCGTTTTCAGTTGCATCTCTATTGATTTTGCCGATTTACCACGTAAACTTTTGTTATAATCAATTGTGTCATTAAGTGCCGACATTTCCTGCAGCTCTCTTAAAGCTTGAATCTCCAAACCCGACATCTCTTGTATTTCGTCCTCTGAAAAAGCTTTCCTTTGCGCTCTAGCTGCTTCCAGTGACAATGTGTCTAATTTGCCCTCAATTATTTCCTTCGTCACGTGAGCTGCTTCTACAGTTTTCGATAGACTAAAATCTGATCGTTTTGCTAGCTTCGGACAATATTAAAGGGATTTTTTCTTGTTATTTTCATAGAAATTGAAAGGGTGATGTTTTTTAAAAATTATAATAAATTATAAATGATAAATAATTCACAGTCTTGTTGTATTTAGGACAAAAATAAATTATGCAGGGCTCGAACAAGGTCCTTAAATCCCGTTAAGGTCCGTAAAAGTCAGTTTTTTTGAAAAAGGTCCACAAAGTCCGTAATTCGATTGAAAAAGGACGAAAAGTTCGTAAATTGTACGATATAATTTTGAGAATTTTAGAGAATTTTAGAGAATTTACAAATGATTCCAAAAATTCAATTATGTTCAAAATTTTTTAAAAATTCTCGTCAAGATTTCAATTATTTTTAGAAATAATTAAATTCTTCTCCATAATTCAATTATTTTCAAAAATTTTAATAAAATTCTTGGCAAAATTTCAATTATCTTTAGAAATAATTAAATTCTTTTCCAAAATTCAATTATTTTCAAAAATTTTAATAAAATTCTTGGCAAAATTTCAATTATCTTTAGAAATAATTAAATTCTTTCCCAAAATTCAATTATTTTCAAAAATTTTAATAAAATTCTTGGTAAAATTTCAATTATTTTCAAAATTGATTCAATTATTTTCCTTAATTAAATGATTTTCCATATCTACGATTTTAATAAAATTTTCCAGAACAATTCAATTATTTAAAAAAAATTTAATAAAAATCTATGCAAACCTTTAATTATTTTCATATAATAATAAAAATTTTACAGGAATTAAATTATTTACAAATTTTTTTATAAATTTCTTCGCAATCATTCAATTATTTTCATTAATAATAAAATTTTTACAGGGATTCAATTATTTTTGTAAATAATAATATTTTTCTTAGGAATTCAATTATTTTCATAAATAATAAAACTCATTGCAGAGTTTCAATAATTTTTAATACAAATTTTTAATCAAATTCCTCGAAAAATGTTCTTAAAAATTTTATTAAAATTCGTCAAAAGAATTCAATTATTTATTAATTCATTAACAAAATTCTTTATGAGACTTCAATTTTAAGAAACATTCAATTATTCAATTAATTTTTTTTTATATTTGAATCATTGAATTCTAGTAGAATTTTCTAATAAAAATTGATTTAAAATTTAATTTTAGTTAAAATTTTTGATAATTTAATTGAATATTAAAAGCATTGCGGATTTTTTTTAATTATTTGAAGTTTATATTTTCTAATATATATTTAATTGAAAAATTTTTGAATAATTGAAAATTTGTAAAATTCAATTGTAAACAAATGAATTTAAAAATTCTCAAAAAATTTGAAAATAGAATTCCTTCGAAGAATTTTGTTAAAATTTTTGAAAATTCTAATTAAATTCTTTTTGAAGAAGTTCTTCGAATTTTTTTTAAATAATGGAGCATTTATAAAATTTTAATTAAAAATTTTTAAAATACTTGAATTTTATGAACAACTTTTTTCAAATTTTAAAAATAATCATGTTTGTTAATAATTGATTTATTAAAATGTTTAAACATTTAATTATTAAATTCTATTAAAATTGTAGAAAAAAATTGAATTATTTTGAAAAATTTTATAACAAATTAAGAGAAAAATTGATTTCTTTTGTGATATTATTTTGAAAATAATTGAATTTTTGTTAAGAATTTTACCATTTATAAATATAATTGAATTATTCGAAAGATTTATTAAAATTTTAGAAAATAATTGAATTTTTTCTAAAAATATTAAAAATTTTCAAAAAAAATTGAATTCTTTCCTGAAATGTTATTAAAATTGTATTAAAAATAATTGAATTTTTGCAAAGTTGTTACTATATAAAAAAAATAATTGAACTATTTCGAAGGATTTATTAAAATTTCAGAAAATAATTGAATATTTTTGAAAAATTTTATAACGAATTAGGAAAAAAATTGAATTCTTTCGTGACATTTTTTTTTTGAAATAATTGAATTTTTGCGAAGAATTTTATTATCCGTGAAAATAATTGAATTGTTTCAAAGGATTTATTAAAATTTTTAAAAAGAATTGAATTTGTTGATAATATATAGAAATGGATTTCAGTTAAAATTTTAGATAATAATTGAATATTAAAAGCAATGTAGCGTGAATTTTTAGAAATAGTTGAATTTTGAAATTAATTTTGTTGAAAAAGTTTAATTACGAATTTTTTAATAAAATTATCTGAAGTTTTTATTTCCTAATATATTTTTAATTGAAGAATTTACGAATAATTGAAATTTCGTAAAATTGAATATTGTAAACAAATGTATTTAAAAATTGTCAATATATATATTTTTGTCAATAATTGGTCTGTAAATGGTCCGTAATTTTTCATTTTTGTCCGTAAAGTCCGTATTTTTAAATACTTTCACTGGTTCGAGCCCTGATTATATGAAATGCGTTTTGATCTTTCATCGACAGTGGCTTTTAATTTTTTTTTTTTACCTTTAAATTGAAAGCAAAGTTTCTGAATTATAAATTATAATCGAAGATTGGAAATCAAGTTCAAGTTCAAGAATATTATTCACTCAAGTGACAAAAAAAAAGTTTCTTTATCCATCTCGAGTTTTCATATAAATGTGACGCGCTTTAAAGAAAGGTACTTAAGAAGAAAATAATTTTAAGGTTATGTTTATTATTTTTAATTTAATTAAAAGTTTCTGTTTAATCGTGTATTACTAAAATCAGTTCTTATTAATTATTTCAGATGTGATGAAGACAAAAACATCAGTTATCAATATTAAGAGTTGATATCCTTTGTGTATTTTCATTTCAGAAATTACAAACATAACCTAAAATTTTTTTCTTTAGATACATTTTCAGGGAGCGAATCACAAATTCATTTATTAAATATGATCACTTGCATTTATAAAAATATATTTTTATTTTCATTGCCGTTTATCAGGTATTTTTTGTAAATGCAGAACCAATTTTTTTTAATGGCATAACTAATTAAAAGCTTTGGAAAAAAATATTATACACTAACCCCATATTATATCCTGGTAAATTGTTAGCCATGAAAGAGAAGTAGGTTTTTTGTTTCAAATTAATTGAACGTTATTAATTTTATGTGGTAACCTGAAAAAAAGTCACACCACTTTTGGACACACCCGTAATTAGAGCGGCGCTTGCAGTGTCGGTTTTGTAGCCTCTTCGATGAAAGATCAAGCAAGCTCTACCGTATGAAACACTTAAACCAGCTTCTTCCGTAGTACTGAATTAGAATTTCAAAAGGTCAGGCAGTCGCAAAGTTGCAGACGCCAAGATTTTCGAATCAGTCAATTTCATATTAAACGAGCATTAAAATAATTCTTCCCTAAATCTATTGTTTATTTAAGAATTATTTATTTCATGATTCATATGTAAAAACAATTAATTAAATTATTGGCTAATAATTTTAATGCTTCATGCGCATAATAATTCGATAGATTCTTTACTATTTTGAAGAGTTTATTATTACGATGGATTTTACATCACCGAAAGTGAGAGTTCAGAAAAAAAATCGGTGAATTTGATCAAAAATACTGGAAGAAGCATTAAAATAAATTTCTACTCTCTAAATTTAAATTAGTTATAAAAGTAACTGCTTTAGAAGCAAAATTAGTAAAAATGTTTACTAATTTGAATTAGTGACTGACTTTTTGCTATTGAATTGGTAAATTTTACTAATTAATTAGTAGAAATTACTATTTATTAATTTAAAAGCAAATTGAATTAGTAATTAATAAATAAATTAATTAATTAACGTAATTTGAATTAGTAAAAATATTTACTATTTTGAAATAGTGACTGACTTTTAGCTTTTGAATTAGTAAATTTTACTAATAAATTAGTAAATTAATCAAATTTATTGATTAGTAAATTTTACTAATAAATAGTAATTTCTAATAATTCTACTAATTTTACTAATTTATTATTACTAATTTATTATTCTACTAATAAATTAGTAAAAATTACTATTTATTAGTCAAATTTACTAATAAGTTAGTAGAAATGACTACTTATTAGAAAATTTACTAATTCAAATGTAGAGAGAAAGTTTTGACCGTTAAAATGAACGAAAATTTTTTCTGTTTCGATATTTTTAAAATATTTTTAGTCAAGTTTAATTAATTTTTCAGTTAATACTTTTTTTTTTTACTGAAAATCAGTTATTTTTTCACTGACAGTTACCAGTTATTTTTAATTGATTCATTAGCAGAGATTCAGACACTGATTGTCAGTTAAAACTATGATTTTTAACTGAATTCAAATTTAGAGAGTAGAATTTGATAAAAAATTATTTTTGTCCAACAATCTTTGCAAAAATTAAGAACCATTTAATTTAATTAAGTCACGAATTTTAATAGAAAACTTTTTTTCTATTTCTGCCATTAATTGAATTTTACACTGAAAACAAAATTATTTAAATCAAATAACCAATTACTTGTCTATTATAAATAAATCAAATAAATATTTACTTGAATCAAATAAATATTTACTTGAATTAAATAAATATTTACTTAAATCAAATAAATATTTACTTGAATCAAATAAATATTTACTTGAATCAAATAAATATTTACTTGAATCAAATAAATATTTACTTGAATTAAATAAATATTTACTTGAATCAAATAAATATTTACCTGAATCAAATAAATGTTTACTTGAATCAAATAATTTTTATTTAAATCAAATAAACTGTATTTGAACCAATAATTTTAATATTTGAAGGAAATACCATATCAAAAAAATTCATATCCCTAAACGAAGCCAATTTTGATTGGCTTAAATTTTACTGGTATTTATTATAAAAAATCAACTTCTTCCACATTTTTTATTATTTTCAAATGCAGAATTTTTTTCATAGGCTTTTGTAATTCTGAACAATTAATCGTATTAATTTTGAAAAATTTTAGTTTTTCCAAATAATAAAATTTCGAAAATAGTTAAAAATAATTTTAAAAAAATTCTTATAATGAAAAATAAATTTAAATTCTATGCAAAAAAAAAAATTGCTGCACCTTTATTACTTAAATATCAAAGGGTGAAGATTAACCGCTCCCCCCCCCTCCCTCCTTAATTAAAATTTTGCATAATTTTATTAAAAAACTCTTTACACTTGAATTAGTAAAAAGTTACTAATAAAATGTCTATGAAAACTTTTAACAATTAGTAAAATTTGACTTTTTTTTGGCAAAAAAATTAGTTAAAATAAAATTCTACTATTTTTAGCAAAAAAATTAGTTTAAGTAAAATTTTACTATTTTTTAGCAAAAAAAATTAGTTAAAGTAAAATTTTACTATTTTTTAGCAAAAAAATTAGTTTAAGTAAAATTGTACTATTTTTTAGCAAAAAAATTAGTTAAAATAAAATTCTACTATTTTTTAGCAAAAAAAAATTAGTTAAAAAAAAATTTTACTATTTTTTAGCAAAAAAATTAGTTTAAGTAAAATTGTACTATTTTTTAGCAAAAAAATTAGTTAAATTTTACTGACAATTAATAATATTCTACTAATTGAAAAGGGGAAAAGTCGTCCATGAAAACTACTAAAAATTAGTAATTCAAATTTAGAGAAACGGATTATTACAGCCAGAGATAAATTTTATTTAAACCAAGTATATTTTATTTGAATTAAATAAACATTAATTTGTCTCATAATCATAACTAGGTTATTTATTTGTTTTAAATAAAAATTTTATTCTTCAAACCCAATATAAAATTTATTTGAAACAAATAAAAAGTCCAATTGGCTCTGAGTCAAAAATATCTTTTCTCTGAGTGTATTTATTAATATACTTTTTGTGTTTAACATTTTGTTTTATTATCTCCCCAACTAAGTAAAATTTTTTAAACTAATTTAGAAAATGATAATTTGTCGAATTGATTCTAAATTTTTTTTTCATTTTAGTAATAACAAGAAAGAAAGATATTTTTAAAAATGAAAATAACAGTTTTTTGTGCGCTAAGAGTAAAACATAAATCTGAAAATATTTATATCATTTTAATAATTTTATTTAAAAAAACTTATATTTTTCTTAAGAGAATGAAGTAATCTTCAAGAATTAAATTAAAAAAAGTAAATCTTTTGATTCCAAATTTTTTGTTTTGTTTACGAAAATCACAATTCTATGAATTCAAATGAATTTTTTTAGTCCACTGCTCTTTTTGAGTATTTCGTTTTTCTATAGGGCATAATTTTACCATTTTTGTCTAAAAAAATCGACGGTGAATCTTTAATCCTTCGATATTTAAGTTGTTAAGGTTCGGTAATTTTTTTTCTGGCATAGAATTCCTTATAATTTTTTTTTAACCATTTTCGAAATTTTATTATTTACAAAAAATTGAATTAAAATTAAACAGTTTTAAAAAAAAACATATTTCCAATTGTAAAACTTCTTTTTATTTTTGACATTTTTGACCTTCGACACAAAAAATAATTCGCCCCGCACGATTAATCTGAAACTCTTCGATAGTTAAAAGTTTTTTTTTGATGATTTTTGATGATTTCTTTTTTGTCTAACATACCTTAAAATTTTCCAAATGCTCTCTGGCCTTTGCTTCGGCGTTAATTGCGTGTTTCACAAGGTCTTGCCTACTGTATGGCCTCACAGTCTTGTGTTCCCAAAATGCACGACCATCTGACCACGGCAAGTGGGGATATGCTGACTTGGCTCTGATATTGTTCTCCTTTTCATCAATATAGTCGATCATCGGTTGGTAATAGTTGATTCCGTATCCATAATTTTTTTCATAAATATAATTTGGTCCACGTCGCCACTTTGATTCCAGTGGCACTTGACACATTGGCACTTTTGTCACCATTTTTCTTTCGTTCTAATGGACTTGTTAAAAAACTTAATTTATCCTTCATACGACGAAGGAGAAACAAAATAATTTACAACTTTAGAGGAAGATGGTAAATTTCGGATTTTTCTCTTCTTTTAATATTTTGGAATTTATTCTCGTAAAATCAGTCTTAACAATGGTTTTAATTCTGTCGAATTTTGTACCTATTGGTCGAATTTCATTCTTTCGAGAAACTAGTTCACTATCAATAGTTGATGAATAATGACTTATACACTTAATGACTGTTCGAAAAAAATGAGGTCTCTGGCCAATCTTGTCAAGACTTTTGTAGAGATTCAAAAGTTGCCACATCATTTCTTTTATGATCCGCCAATCAATTGTCGTTTGCCAATAATTATGACTTTGATGAGCTATCGTTTATTAATAGAGATGGAACGTTCCGATTTTGAAAGAATTTTCAAGTGTTCAAAATTCTACTATTAACAGTGGAACTATTTTAAAAAAGCAAATTAAAATTTCTATCTTAAAAGTTTCTGTTTTGCTTTTTTTCGCTAAAGATACGATTTATGTTTTTGTAAAATAGGGAAAAGCTTGACTGAGAGTTAAATGCGAATGGAAATGTAAAGGAGAGGAAAACGTTTTGGGTAAATTTCCATAAAATTTTATATTGAATTTGAATTATCTATTTAGATTGTGCAGGATTTTCCCTTGAACAGATGACCCCGGGAATTACCATCACAAGGATGATTCTAGCGAACTTCATTGATGACGAATTTAACTTTAGTCTATTATTAGCGAATGAGGCAGTGGACAATTAAAAGTAGTCTCTTGCATCATGACTGAAAATCGGGACCGTAACGTGAGAGCATTAGTTTATTACGCTCAAGTGGCGCTTAGTGTTTCCTAATCTTAGGTATGTTTTCATTTCATTGTGATTGATCACTCAATTTAAATTTAGTGTTCATTCAGGCAGACGCGATTATACTTATAGCTAAGATTTCAGCAGGTAGCTTTTCTTCTTTTGATAGAGAGAAAATTAAGTATTTTCCTACTACCACTACTACCCACTAATTAACCTAAAGTCAATTGTAAAGGACCCTGTAGAGGATTCACATCAGTTTTGGCTCCCAGACAATTTTTTTTTGTTCTAACTTTGGTTTTTTGTAGTCGACATTCAAACCAAGAACATCAAAAACCCAACAGTCTTTTTCGAAATTCGACTGGGAGCCAAAAATATTGTGTAAGTCCTTCGGGGTCTTTTACTTTCAGATTCATTTTTTAGTTAACTTGAAACTAAGAGAATTTTGAAAAATTATAACTGAATGCCAATCCAGTAAACTGGATTGGCATCCAGTTATAATTTTTCAAAATTCTTTTAGTTTTAGCATAATATTTTTTGGAATGGTGGCTTAGAAAAGTGGAACTTACCGAATGGCGTCGATCTCTTCATCCTTTTCGGCAAGACGACGTTCAGTTTCGTGGCGAAGTTGACCTAATTCAGCGGCCAATCTTTGAGAACGTTGCTCCTCGATTTTGCGGCCCTGGAAATATTTTACATTGTTAATTTTTTGATTGGATATTTATTAGATTATTCTCGTATGTGACGTGCTTCGAAGAAAGATGCCTAGGAAGCAACAGATTTTTGGTTATCTTTGTAGTTTTTGGAGCGAAAATACAGAATGAGGATCAAATCTCTGAATTTATAAAGTTTACAAGTCTTCATAAATAATTTATAAAAACTGATGTTAGTTTCAACGGAAGTTTAATAGAAGTCGAAGCAGTTTGAACAGAAAACTTGTTAGTTTTCTGTTCAAACTAAGCCTTAAATTTTTGGTTAACTTTAACAGACAGCCGATAATCTGATTAGTTTATCGGTTGTCTGTTAAAGTTGACCTAAAATAAAATAAAGAATTTAAAATTTTTAATTTTGCCTAAGCTCCTAAGTGGAGCTTAATCCTGATTAAGTGGAGCTTAGGCTCTTTTTGGCATTCGCCCCGGGTTAACTTTAGGTTAATCGAGAATGGCTAAATTCAGCAGAATTAATGGTTGGACCATGGTTAGTTCGAGGTAATTTCTGGGTGAATGCTGAAAAGAGTCTACGGACATCCTAAGGATATACGGAAATTATACGTCTGTAGGATGTCCCAGAGTCTAGAAATGCTGGAAAAATATTCTTATTTCTGAATATGAGTCGGAAATTAAAATTCCAGGACATTCTGGAATATTCGTTGCTGATGTAAGGGAACTTTTAATTGGGGTAAAAATGACACAAATAGGCTTAAAATATTTTGGTTCTTGGGTACCTTTCTTCGGAGTGCTTTAAATATTTTTGCAACTGTTAATCAGTTTTGATATTTTAATTTACTTACGGCCTCGGCTTCCTTATAAGCTGCAGCCAATTCTTCTCGCTCGTTCTCAAGACGACGGAGCTCAAGTTCCAATTCGTGTAGTCTGCGGTTCATGTCAGCCAATTGATTCTTAGCATCATTAAGATCATCTGTAAAATTATAGCTGAATTAGAATACTTTATTGGATCATTATTTTTGAATTATAATTGAATCATGATTGAACCATAATTGAATCAAGCATCATTAAGATCATCTGTAAAATTATAGCTGAATTAAAATACTTTATTGGATCATCATTTTTGAATCATAATTGAATCAAAATTGAACCATAATTGAACTATAATTGAACCATAGTTGAATCACAGTTGAATCATAATTGAAACAATAAATTGAAAAGATTCAATCACATTGTTCAATTTCTCCTTGGGTTGTTTTAGGGAATCATTTGGGTTTAGTTTTTATGAACTTCGAAAGTGTCCAGAATATAAGAGTCCAAGAATTAGTTAATAGGAGTCTTAGCTTGAAATTTATGGTTTGTTATGTACTGTTATGGTATTCAATTGTTGGAATTTACTGTTAAATGCTGAGAATATGAATTTCGAATTTAAGAATCATCTCGAAAGATGTAATTTTATACCTCCGAGTTTCTTATTTTCACGCAAAAGTTGGTCCTTGAGTTCTCGAGTCTTGTCGAGTTCGGCGTTGCAACGTTGAAGTTCTTGTTGCTTATTGCGAAGATCTCGTTGACTTTGTTCGTACATAGCCAAAGTTTCTTCAAGGCGAGACTTCATTTCAATGTTAATCTTCTCCATTTGTTCGACACGTTTCTGAAGTTCCCGAGCAGTTCCATTGGCCTTTAAGGAAATATATTTTATTACTGTTACTGTAGTGTTAATTACTATTACTATTGCTACCACTATAGCATTTAAACTTGCAGGAATATTGACAACATTGTCTCAATAGAGTAAAACTAAACCTGTAACAACATTGACAAAATTGCCTCAATTTTAGTTTAGATGCTGTAAAACTTGCAGCATCTAAATTTGCATAAATGTTGTCAATGTTGCTGGAAGTTAAGATGCTGTAAGGGTATATTATTAATTACTATTGAATTACTATTTCAGTAGTATTGGATTATTATAGAATTAACATTGAGAAGTAATAAGAAATAGTCGAGGAATGTAAGAATAGTATGAATAGTAAGAAAGTAAGAATTGTCAACACACACCTTCTCTAGATCAATGATCAGAACCTCAACTTCAGATTGCAGGCGTGATTTCTGCTTCTCGAGATTATTGATCTTAACCAATAGAGTTTCGATTTGTTCTTCTTGTTCTTGGATACGAGCACAGTATTTACGGCGCAATTCTTCAACCTAAAAATAAACAGAAGATTGATTTTTATTTTTGATTCATTTAATATATAAATTTTAATGTAAAAATTTGCAATGGGCATAATGAAAAAAAAAAATTGAAAGAAACTTACTTCTTCTGCGCGAGCTTGAGCTTCAGTCTCATATTTGGATCTCCAAATGGAAACTTCACCGTTAGCCTTCACTAATTGACGCTCGAGATCCAAACGTGCTTCCGATTCTTCTTCCAACTGGACTCGGACTGATTCAAGTTCAATCTCAACCTGTTTGAAGCGTCAATTTTTTGATTAGTTATATTCAGAACACATTAAACAGAAATAATTTTGAAATAATAAGTAGTTCGATTTTTTAAAAATAGAAATATTAAATTAAATATTTCTATTTTTTGAAAATAGAAATATTAAATGAAATTTTATAACGGCTGAGAATGAGTTAATTATTTATTTGGGATAAAAATAAATGGTACCTGATGTAAAGAAGCTTCGACCAATGAGCGGCGTCGTTCCTCATCTTCCAAACGACGACGTGCATCTTCCAGTTGTCCGGCGATTTGAGTTTTCAAGTAGATGACATTTTCTATGTTCACCTGCAAAGAGCGGTAAAGAAATATTTTTAGATTTTTACATCTTTACTTATTTCAGGCTTCGTACTCGATAATTAATTTTAAAAAAGTAGCAAAAAAAGTAGCTCAAAGACAGAAAAAAAGTAGTAAAAAAGTAGCTATCGAAAAATTGAACTTGACGACTCAAATTTAACTATTTCTAAAAATTACAAAAGCAATTCTTTCAAAATTCAATCATTTTTTCCTTCAAATTTATAAATAAAATTATTCAAAACTTTAATCATTTTATTTTATTCAATTCTAAATCAATTCTTATTAGAAACTTCTACGAGAATTAAATTATTTAAATAATAAATAATTTATCTGAATAATTGATTATTTCTTAAATTTGAATTTTTATAAAGAACTTTATTAAAATTTTTTAAAATAATTGAATTTTTACGAAGAATTGCATTAAAATGTATGATAATAATTAAATTCATTCAAGAAATGTAAATGAAAATGAATTGAAAATAATTATTATAACTCTGAGAAACATATTATATCAAATTTTTTATTGCGTTTTTAGCGGAATTAATTTTAAATTATAAATATTAAAAATAATTTAAATTCTGCGATGAGTTGTATTATTTATGAAAATAATTGAATTTTAGCAACGATTATTATTCAAATTTTTTTAAATAATTTGTTTTTTTAAGAAGAATTTTATTATTTTTAAAAATAATTGAATTCTTGAGAAGTTTATTAATTTTTTTTTTAAATACTTGAATTCTAGCGAAAAATTTTATTATCCGTCAAGACAATTGAATTTTTCCGAAGAATTTCATAAAAATTTTTAAAAATAATTCAATTCCTGAGAAGAATTTTATTAATTATTTATAAAAATAATTGAATTTTTGCGATGAATTTTATTAATTTTTTTGTAAAATAATTGAATTCTTTTCAGAAATTTAATTAAAATAGTAGATATTGAAATTTGAAAATATTTGAATTTAAGAAAAGAATTTCATTATTTATGAAAATAATTGAATTCTTGAGAAAGATTTTACAAAATTTTTTTGAAAATAATTGATTTCCTTCGAAGAATTTCAATAAAACTTTTGAAAATAAAAACAATTTTTCGAGAAATTCATGTAAAATGATATTAAAAATAATTGAAATCCTGCGATGACTTTTATTATTTAGGAAAATAATTGAATTTTTGTCACCGAACTTTAATAAAGTTTTTGAAATAATTGCATTCTTGAGAAGAATTTAAAAAAAAAATGTTAAAGAAATGATTTTTGTCAAAAATTTTATGAAAATTGTGTTTTAAATAATTGAATTTCTTTGAAAATTGTATATTATTTATGAAAATAATTATTGAATTCTTTCAAAAAATTTTATTAAAATTATATTGAAAACAAATTCAATTATTATAAAGAATTTCATTACAATTTTTTAAAAATAATTGAATTGTTTCAAAGAATTTTACTAAAATTTTTAAGAATAGTTGCATTTTTCGCAGAATTCATTTAAAATTGTATTAAAAATAATAGAAATCCTGCGATGAGTTTGAATATTATTTATAGAAATAATTGAATTCTTGCAAGGATTATTATTAAAATTTAAAAAAATAATTGAATTCCTGAGAAGAATTCTTGCTAAGATTTTTTATAAAAATCTATTTCAATAATTGATTTTTGACGAAAAATATTATGAAAATTCTGTTTTAAATAATTGAATTCTTGTCAAAATTTTGTTATTTACGAAAATAATTGAATGTTTGCCAAGAATTTGATAAATTGTAATATTCTAAATAATTTCTTGTCGCCTGAGGTGGTTCAATGCTTCACATTTATACACAAAAACTATAATATAGAGCTGTATTTGTCCCATACCTTTAAATCTTGTACTTCTTTTATTAATTCAATATTTTCTTGCGACAATCGAGTTTTATGACTGGTAATATCAACGATGGTGCGATTAATTTCTTCAATTTTGACATTTAATTCCGAAACATGTATTTCTAATTTCTCCACTGTCTTCATCGACATAATCTTCTCTTTCGTGACATTGTCGATTTGAGCAAGAAGTTCATATACCTCCTGCTGGAATTTGGCCTTTTCTTTCTCGGCTCTGCAATAAGAAAAATATTTTTGATTTGCAATATTTATTTTTTGTGCATTATAACTTATAAAATTTCAAGCAAAATTAGTAGGAAAAGTTTTAATTGGGTATAATTTTTATCATTTTATTTTTAGGAACTGTTTCTCTTTCCTTTTTTGTTTTTAGAATTTTGACTTTCCTTTATATTTTCATTTTTAATTTTAGAGATTCTTATTTTCATATGGGGACGACTTTTTTTTTAATTGGAAGTTGAAATAAAAATGAAAATGAATCTAAATGAAAGTACATAATTAACCTCCAGGGGGTTGATTCTGTAATTTTATTTTTACTTTGACTTTCATGTTCACTTTCGCTTTCAATTAATTTTCAATTAATCTCCAAAGGGTTGATTATCTAATTTTATTTTTACTTTGACTTTCATTTTCACTTTCGCTTTCAATTTGATTAGATTTTTATTTCTATACTCTCATTTTTACTTTCACTTTCACTTTGATAGAATTTTATTTTCATTTTCATATAATTTTGATAGATTTTTATTTTCTTTTTCATTTCCACTTTTAAAGCGGAAAACAATAAAAATAGATGAAAGTGAAAATGAAGGGGAAAATAAAAATCTTTCAAAGTGTAAATGAAAGTGAAAGTAAAAATAACAGTAACAATAAAAATTGATGAAAGTGAAAATAAAGGAGAAAATAAAAATCTTTGCAACTGAAAATGAAAATGAAAGTAAAAAAAATAGTAACAATAAAAATAGATGAAAGGGAAAATAAAAATCCTTCAAAGTGGAAATGAAAGTAAAAATAAAAAAGAAAGCGAAAATAGATGATAAATTTAGTTCTTCTGCAAATTGTTCTCTAAGACAAGGTCATGGCATATATCATCAATTGTTGATGATTCTGATGATCACCTGTTGATCGAAAGCAGCTGATTCCTCTCGTGAATCTATTTGGTGTCAGTGCCACTTGAAGCATGCTGATTAACCGCCCTCAAGATCTAATTTTCTCACTAGAGGCCTATTTTAAGTATTTAAATGTTGGGATGTTGCGCGAGGGGGAGCTGTATGTGTGTTTGTGTGATGAAAGAAAACTTGAGTCGAAAAATAATTCTTCGACAAATGTTTCTTTTCTTTTTCTTTCTTTCTTTTTTTTTTAATAGAATTACGGCAGTAGTCAGAGTAAATAATTGACCGAGAGAATTTTTCCACCCACGCAAAATCGAGGGTGTAAGGTGTCAGTCAGTTGATTCCGTGGATATGAGAGGTGGGGATTCTCGGGACTGGTAGCGTGTACTAATATGGCGTGCCAACGCGGGGTTGTGGATTGCCTCGCAACTTGAACAGTTAAAAATAGTCATAAGCCGAAGTAAACGTTTGTATAACAAGAAAACACTTCACGAGAGAAAGACAGAAAGATGAAGTCAGAAACTGAGAGAGAGAGAGAGCTCAAAGAGTGACATAAGGATTATGAGTTGAGAATGCTATTTTAACAAGGTGCCATATACTCTATCATTATAGCGAAACTCAGTTGCAGACAGGTGTCTTTGTGTATGTGTGAATGTTGACAACTATTATCATTGAAATTTAATTAATTTTTGTTTATTTTATTCGAGGAATTTTTGTTTTTAAAATTTATTTTATTTACAGAAAGGTTTTAAACCTTTCTTTGACACACTGGGTCATTTTGATTCTGATTATGAAGTATTTAAATTTATTCAATTAATAGTGAGGTATTTTTTAAGTTATTTAACCTGGCGAGCGTAAAGCTGGGTGTGGCCATTATTGCCCTAGGGTAATAATGAGTATTTTATTGACCTGTGAGCAGCGGTAAATAATATTTACATTATTGCCCTAGGACAATAATGTTTACAATTAGGGCAATTTAATGTTTACTTAATGATTTGTGAGCAATACAGTGTTCATTATTGCCCTAGGGTAATAATAACTTGCGAGCGGTCAATAAAGTGTCAATTATTGCCCTAGGGTAATAATAATTTTCGAGCAGTCAATAAAGTGACCATTTATGCCCTAGGGTAATATTAAGTACTTTATTGACCTGTGAGCGGTCAATAAAGTGTTCATTATTGCCCAGGGTAATAATGGGTACTTTATTAACTCGCGAGCGGTCAATAAAGTGTTCATTATTGCCCTAGGGTAATAATAGCCACTTTATTGACCTCTGAATTATAAAAGGGAACTTAGCCTGAAATTAGATGACCGTAATACGCCTAAGTTGCAAAAAAGCAATTTATCAACGTTTTGATAAATTTTTAGTAAGGAAAAATAATTTTTTACTGATATATTTTAACGTCATATTCAATTAATGAATAATCGAAAAAGTATAACTTCACTGATGTAAATTCCGCCTAACTTTACGCTTGCCTTAATTTTATATTAAATTTTAAAAAAATATTTAATTAAATGTTAATTAAATTCCACTTAACCTTACGCTCGCCTTAATTTTATATTAAGTTTAAAAAAACACGAAAAAAAATTTATTTGATTCAAAGAATCGATTACTTTTTATCAAATAAATATTTACCTGAATCGAATAATTTTTATTTAAATCAATTAAATTGTATTTGAACCAATAATTTCTGTATTTGAAGCAAAAACCGCATTTAATTGACTCAAAAATAATTTGATTCAAATAACTGATTGCTTGTCTATTATCAAATAAATATTTACTTGAATGAAATAAATATTTACTTGATTGAAAAAAATATGTACTTAAATGAAATAAATATTTACTTGATTGAAGAAAATATTTACTTGAATGAAATAAATATTTACTTAAATCAAATAAATATTTACTTGAATAAGATAAACATTTACTTAAATCAAATAAATATTTACTTGAATAAGATAAACATTTACTTAAATCAAATAATTTTTATTAAACTCAATTAAATGGTATTTAAACCAATAATTAAACAGAAAATTCTAATTAAAATATAAAAATAACATAAACATAAACTTAAAACGATGTATTTTTAAACTTAATATCAAACGATCAAGTTAAAAATAGTTTTAAGTACTCTTCTAAATTTTTTATTAACTATAAATCAGAGTGTCCAGCAAGATTCGAGAAAAAAAAATTCTCTGACTCTTTCTGACTTTTTGCTAACCTTATTTTTGTTTTCTACAAGGAAAAAATGAATAAAGTAACTTTTACTATACTTTCATAATAAAACCTAAACTATCAGGAACTTCTGCGAATTTCTAGTAATTTTTACTATTTTCGGAGTAAATTTTTCTACGTTCGAAGTAAATTTTATTTATTTTTTTTTTAGAAAATTGTACTTCGAACAAAGTAAAATTTATAAATTTAATTTAAATAAAACGAAAATCCAAAACTAGTAAAAAATTCAAAATGGTGGATCCAATATGGCGGCCAAAATGGCATTTCTTTAAAAAATTCGAGCATTAAAGGGTTAAATTAATATCTAATGATAGGAACAGATGGTAATAATAAAAAATTATTACTTTTATTAGATTAAAAAAACTTTTGACTTGTAAAAAGTTTTATTTTTTCTATAATTTTAAAGAAATTTTTCCTGACTTTGAATGAAATTCCCTGACTGCTGGACATAGAGGTAATTCAAAATTTAAACTAGAAAAAATACATTTGACTTGGAGCCAACTAAACTTTTTTTTTGTTACAAATTAATTTTATTTGGTTCAAATTAATTTTTGTTTGGCTCAAATTAATTTTATTGGGTTCAAATTAATTTTAATTGATTCAAATGCAATTTCATTTGGTTTAAATTAATTTTGGTTCAAATTAATTTTATTTGAATCAAATTATCTTTATTTGGATCATATGACATTCTATTTCTACTAATTTTAACTGAAATTTTGTTTGGTTCAAATTAATTTTATTTGTTTCAAATGAAATTTGATTTGGTTCAAATTAATTTTATTTTGTTCAAATGAAATTCTATTTGAATTTAAAAAAATTATATTTCAACTAATTTGAAATAAAATTTTGTTTGGTTCAAATTAATTTTATTTGGTTCAAATGAAATTTTGGTTGGTTCAAATTAATTTTATTTGATTCAAATGAAATTTTATTCGGTTCAAATTAATTTTAATTGATTCAAATGGAATTTCATTCGGTTTAAATTAATTTTATTTGTTTCAAATGGGATTTTACTTGGTTCAAATTAATTTTATTTGGTTCAAATGAAATTCTATTTGAATTAAAAAAATTACATTTCAACTAATTTCAATAGAAATTTTATTTGGTTCAATTTAATTGTATTTGGTTAAAATTAATTTTATTTGGTTCAATAGAAATTTTATTTGGTTCAAATTAACTTTATTTGGTTTAAAAAAAATGTATTTCAACTAATTTCAAATAAAATTTTACTTGTTTCAAATCAAAATTTTATTCGTGACTAAAAAAATTATTATTTAAAACAAATAAATTACTAGACTCTGAGAGAAAAAATACTTTATTATTTAACTAAAATAAATTATATTTGGTGTAAATAAAATTTTTCTCTGAGTTTCGTATTGATACAATAAAACTTTTGAACGAATAGAAAATTAACTTTTCGAATAATTATTCTCTATTATGCTGAAAACTGAATGTTCAGAGAGTACATATTATATAATTATATAATATGAATAATATACGAGAGTGATGATAATTTTTGATGACAATTTGTGGTATAACGAACTTTCGGAATCCTGGAGAAACCTATGTTTAGAAGTCTAAGGGACGTTGGCGTCTAGTTCATATATTTCAGGTGCAAGTAACTCGGTTTGTTGGAAGGAGGCCAGTACCTCGGACACATAATTTGCGATAATTTTTGGATATGCCTTCTTACTGCGCGATGCACCAGCTATAATTATTTTAGATCGCGCGTATGAATCATCATTCTGGGCATGGCATGAAATGGAATTATGCGAATTTTACCGCGGTTCCTTTATTTCTTTTTTGCTTGAGGGAGAGAAAATTACAGACGTTTATTAATAATTTTTAATTAAAATCATACATATGTTGAATCATTCCTAGATTTTCGAACAATGGCTCCCTAAAAAAATTAGCAAAGTTTTGTAACTTTGAGAATTTTTTTTAGAATACAGAATTGAACTGATTTTCGAACAATGATTCCCGAAAAAAATTTTTTTAGGGAGCCATTGTTCGAAAATCAGTTCAATTCTGTATTCGACTTTATTTTAATAGGAAATTATTGAAACTAAATTTTCAATCATTTCTATAATGTAAAATTTTTACAATTTTTGATAATTTTTGAAAATTTGTTCTATTGTTAGAAAATTAGTTTAATTGCTGGAGTTCGAATTTATTCTGATGGGAAATTAGTGAAGCTGTAAAATTTTAAACAAGTTAGAAAGCAGGATAAATGGAACGACTTTATTTGGTAGAGTTAGCTTCAGAGTTATCTCTGAAGTTAGCGTCGACGTTCATATGGGGATTTTAGAGATAAAAATGTCACTAATTTCAGTTTTTTCTCCTTCGCCTATTTATAGGGAGTTGAAAAGTCATTCAGGGTATTTTTTTAAATCTAAAAAACTTTGAAACAATTGTTTGAAAACAATTTTGAAAAAATTGATTCGAAAAAAGACGCTTAGCGTCGACGCTAACTGCAGGAACCTAGAAATTTCGGTTTGAGGAAATTCTTTTTGTGCCTTTTTTGTAAAAAAAAAAAAAACAATATTTTTTCTTCTTTGAATACTAACCTTGCTCGGGCCTTTGACATTTGGTCGATTTGATCTTGGAAATCAACAACCACTTCCTGGTGCTTTTTGCGTAAGAGATGAGCGGTCTCTTCACTTTCGAGGTGGACATCTTCTAAGAGCTTTCGGAGCTTCAATAATTCTGTGTCCCTCTTTTTGTTAATTTCAAACTGTCAACAGGAAGGAATTTTAAGTTACTTGATATTATCCTTTTAATAATATTAATTAATTAATAATAATAATAATTAATAAATAATAATAATTAATAAATAATAATATTAATTAATAATTAATATTATTAATTAATTAGTAATAATTAATAATATTAATTAATTTTTTCTTAATATTGATAAATAAAGAAAAAATATTCTAACTTACTTGAGACTCGGCGCCACCTTCGGCTTCCTCAAGTCGCTCTGAGAGCTGTATGACTTGCACGCTCAAGTCTGCACGCTCTCGTTCAACCTGTTTCGGAAAAAAATTATCAATTACTAAAAATTTGAATGTTATATTATATTAGGAGAATAAAATATGCGCGGTGGTCGTGGTCGTTAAGCGCTTGAATGTTAGATTCGTGTTTAGAGGGTTCGATTCCCCAAGGGTAGGAATTTTTTTTTTTAACTATTATTTAAGATTCAAAAGCGCTGCACAGTTTTGAGGCTTTATATTATAAATATTATTGTTTATAAATTATTATATTTATTGTAAATATATTATGAATAATATAAAGTATTAAACACATTTTTCGTTTTTATGAAGTTAGCGACGATGCTCAACATAAATAATTAAACAATTCATTAATACATTATTGATTATTTTGAAACTTAGCGTGGTCCTTTATGAAGATTTTTTCCTTTGAATTTCAACAAAAATATCTATTTTAAATTTTTGTGTATTGAACGTTCTAATTTTCAAGCAATTTAAAAAACTTGAAAAAAAAATTAATTTAAACAATAATTCATAATTCTTTTTGAATTTTATTAGGAAACGAATGAAACTATAAGAGCAATGTTTTCTTAGGAAGCGGTCGATAAACTTTAAGTGTATTTTTTTTGGCACGCGGTAAATAGTTTTTGATCGTCCGATTAAATGTAATTTTGTACATTATCATCAATTAATGAATTTATTTTTTTTTCACCAAAAATTTGTTTATAAATTTTTCAATTACTATAATTTTATTGTTAAGGGAGAATCTGACATATAGTCAAAACAAAAGTTAGTCCAATGTTTATAATTTCGAATTTAAAAGAAGACTAAATTTTAAATTTATTTTTGATAGATAGAAAATTGTACTTTTTAGTTTTTACTCAAATGCAACTTTAAATTGTTTAAAATATTCCAAATTAAATACTCTACGCTTCTACCAAAACGAATTTAAAATTTAATCTTTCTTTTATAATGGAAAATTATGACATTGGACTAATTTTTTTTTTTGACTGTTTATCAGATAGTTATAATTGAAGGAAATTTTACTCTCTAAATCTGAATTAGCAAACAATTTTAAGCATTATTACTGAAAAATTATTTAAAAATTACAGGCCTCGCATTCATCTACTAAAACCTACTATTTACTACTTTTTTACGATTTGCTACTATTTGGATACTTTTTCTTATTTGTTATACTAAAAACTACTTTTTTCCATGTTTGAGAATTTACACTACTTTAAAATTTTTAATTTGTTAACATTTGAAAAAAAAAAAAATTATTTTTAAAAATTTTAATAAAGTCAATGAAAAAAATTCAAAAAATTTTAATATACATAATTCTTTAAAACGATTCAATTATTTTTACAAATTTTTCGTAATTCAATGATTTTTAATATCTACAATTTTAATAAAAAATTGCACAAAAAAATTGAATAATTTTAAAAAAGTGTTTATAAAATTCTTCGTAAGAATTTAATTATTTTTATAAATAAGATAATTCTTTTCAGGAATTCAATTATTTTTTAAAATTTTAATAATAATCGTTGCAAGAATTCAATTATTTTTGTAAATATTAAAAAAAAACCGCAGGATTTCAATTATTTTTAATACAATTTTAAATTAATTGAGCGAAAACGCAATTAAGTTTTTAAAAGTAATCGTGTTTGTTAATAATTTAAACTAAATATTATATTATTGATTTTTATTATAATTTTAGAAATTAATTGAATTCTATTGAATTTTTTTATAGCGTATTAAGAAAAGAATTGAATTCTTTCGGGAAATTTTTTGAAAATAATTGAATTTTTGCAAAGATTTTACGAATTAAGAAAAAAATTGAATTCTTTCGTTAAATTGTTTTGAATGTAATTAAATTTTTGCAAAGAACTTTACTATTTATAAATATAATTGAATTGTTTCCAAGGAATTACTAAATTTTTAGAAAATAATTGAATTTCTTCGAAAAATATTAAAAATAATTGAATTTTTGCAAAGAATTTTACTATTTACAAATAAAATTTAATTGTTTCAAAGGAATTATTAAAATTTTTTGGAAACAATTAAATTCTTTTGAAATATTTTATAACGAATTAAGAAAAAAATTGAATTCTTTCAAGAAATTTTTTGTAAAATAATTAAATTTTTACAAAGATTTTACTATTTAAAAAAATAATTGAATTGTTTTGAAAGATTATTTTCATAAAAAATAAATCTCATGGCAGGATTTTGATTATTTTTACTATAATTTTAAATTAATTCCTCTAAGAACGTAATTATTTTTAGAAATTTGAATAAAATTCTTCGAAAAAATTTAATTATTTAAAAAAAATTTGATATAATTTGTTTCTTAGAGTGTAATAATTATTTTCAATTCATTTTTAATTACATTTCTTTAATGAATTTAATTATTATCAAAAAAGTTATGCAATTCTTCGTAAAAATTCAATTATTTAAAAAAATGTTGATAATGTTCTTTATAAGAAGTCAAATTTAAGAAATATTCAATTATTCAGATAAATTATTTATTATTTAAATAATTGAGTTCTCGTAGAAATTTCTAATAAGAATTGATTTAGAATTGAATAAAATAAAAAGATTTAAGTTTTGAATAATTTTATTTATAAATTTCAAGAAAAATGAATTGAAAAATGATTGAATTTTGAAAGAATTACTTTTTTAATTTTTATAAATAGTTAAATTTAAAAAATGCGATAGCTATTTGTTTATACTATATTTTTTTGTCTTTAAGCTACTTTTTTCTATTTTTTAAAAATTAATTATCGAGTACGAAGCCTACAATTACGATTATGCCACTATATATCTCAACTTTATTGAAAAATTCGGTAAAATATAAGGGGTAAATTTTCTCTTTGTTGAACAAAAATTTACTCTTTAAATCTGAAGTAATTAAAAGTCGCTTATCTATTTAAATTAGTAATAACTTCAATACTAATTATTAGTAATTTTTCACTGAAATTTCATGGCAAAAAATTTAAAACTAAGAAAGGAAATAGTAACACTTTAAGAATTTTAGTAAGAATTTTTATAAATTTTTACTAATTTTTAAGAAGTTTGTAAGGTTTTTACTAATAATTATAAATTCTTACTAATTTGAATCAGTGGAAGAGTTTTTATTAATTTAAATTCAAAGCAAGGCAGTTCTCTAGGGCGATTTTGGATTTTTTTATTTTTTGTCTTCGTAAATTGATATAAAAATTGTTTTTTTTTTAGAGAGAAAAAATAAAAACATAATCTTCAGTTAGAAGTATAAGCGAAAGGAATGTCGGAACGCGAAAACATCTCGGCAAAGGCCTGAGCAATCACAGAAATAGAAACGGCATGAGCTGGACATTTGAAGTTAGTATATCCCCACTTTACAGCGCCATGTTCGGATTTTGAAGGCACACTCTCAAATTCACGTTATTTTAACAAAATGAGTGCCGAAAATAATTTTTCCTCCTATGTCGCTTTGGTTCATTCCTCTCCAGGTAGTTTTTCAACTCTCGACTTGACAATTCGAGGTCAGCGTTACGTTTGCTAGGCGCGAAGCTTCCGTTAAGCGCTGCTTGCCGCTTGCGTCATTTTCTTTTTTTCTTTTTCTTTTTTTAATTTAAAATAAAAATACAAGCTTTCAAGATGAATGCACTTACCCTCTGACGTAGCTCTCTCTCACCCTCGAGATCGTCTTGTAGGAGTCGAATCTTGTCCTGAAATTAAGGCAAAATTGTTTTTAAAAATTTTTATCTATTCAGTTTTGTTGAATTTTATTCAAATTTTATTCTAGGTTGTGTTTTTAATAGGAATTTTTTAAAAGAATTTTTTAAATGAATTTTTTAAATGAATTTTTTAAATGAATTTTTTAAATGAATTTTTTAAAAGAATTTTTTAAACCGATTTTTCTTAACAGTGAAGAAACGGTTTTTTGTTGAAACTTTAAATTTAACTTATTACGTAAGATGAAGTTGTACTGTCGCTAGAAATATCTTTTCTGGTCTAACCTGTGATGATCACGAAATAACAAAAGCAAGTTTCAATTCACTTATTCCTGTTTTAAATGAAGAATTGAAAATTGTTTAAAATTTAAAAAAAAAATTTAATTCTTTTATAGAGTTCAATAATGTTTAAATTTAAAAATTGAGATTGAAAATTATTGAATAGCTAATTCTTAAAATATTCGATCGGAACTAAATTTTATATTTTCGTTAGACTTGACCTAAAAAGAGCACGCGACAACAAAGCCCATTCAGTTGTGTTAAATTTATCCCGATATATTTATCGTTTTCTATAATACTTGAGGAAAACTTTTTTCGAATTAACGGTTAGTGGGAAATAAATTTTCCTAAAAATAAAACATATTTAAAATTTTAAACTATCATTTATAATTTATCCAATTCAGAATGGGGGAATCAATAAAATTTTTATGATTGTTTAATGCTGAAACTTTAACATTACTTATTAAAAGAAAAATCACTTAGAAAATTCGGGAAAAATTTTGAGAAACGTAATTAAAATACATTACGAAAAAAAAATTTTTTCCTGTATAAGACTTAAAAATTTCATAATATATTTTATTAAATTAGCGAAAGTTTTAGTAGCTAAAACTTTATTCTGTTAAGACTTTCGCTATTCCAGAAAAACTTATCGCTGCTCTAGATAAACCTTTTTCTGTAATTAATAAATTTTAATACTTTTTTTATTCATTTGAATAGATTTTAATAGATTGTAATACATTTTAAAACATTTTAATACATTTTAATAATAAATTTTTATACAACTACATTTTTTTTGCGAATAATAAAAATTTTAAATTAAAAATGCTCAACATATTAAAAATTAATAAATAAAAAAAAGTAAATTCAACAATTTTTTACGATTTATAGGAAAAAGTGATAATTTTGAATAGAAATTTTTGTTTTGGTTTTCAATTACAAAAAGAAATGTGTAAATTCTCTAGAATAGAAAAAATTTATTTGATTCAAGTAACCGATTAGTTGGCTGTTATCAATATTAAATATTTACTCAAACCAAATCATTTTCATTTGAATCAGTAAAATATATACTTAAATCAAATAATTTTCATTTGAATCAATAAAATATTTACTTAAATCAAATAATTTTCATTTGAATTAATGAAATTTTTTCTTAAATGAAATAATTTTCATTTGAATCAATAAAGTATTTACTTAAATCATACAATTTTTTTTTTGAGTCAATTAAATAATATTTCATTCAAATGCTGAAATTATCGGTTCAAATACAATTTATTTAAAACACAATTTGATTTGAATTAAAATTATTTGATTCAAGGAAATATTTTTTTGATGATAGTCAAGTAATCGGTTATTTGAATCAAATAAATTTTTTTTCAGAGTTTGAACATTTTTTTAATTTCTAAAGCATATTAAGCAATTTTTTTAGCAATGGGGAATTAAAATGTATTTTTCTTTCTTAACAATTTAGATTTTTTGCGATAATAATTCTCAATAAAAATGTCTATAACTGCCACTCGCTTTAAGGTTGTTTTTCCCGTAGATTTCGCAAGCTAAAATCAACCTAAAGCAAATGTAGGAAGTTATAGACTTTTTTACTTTTTACGGCAAAATAAGTAAAAATAAAAGTTTTTCGGCAAATAAATAAACAAGTTTTGTGCAGATATCAAAATTAAGACAAAATACGAATCAAAAATGTTACTTCGCAACACTTTTGATTCATTTTTTGTCTCAATTTGATATCTGCAGAAAAATTTGGTATAGTATCGCAACAAAAGAAATTATATAAAAAAATTTATTTATTTTAACAATTTTTTACGTTTTTGTTAATTAAAAATTACCACTAGCTTAAAAATTTAAAATTGCTTCTAAAATTGAAAAATTTCTTTCTCTTTAATTTTATTATGCATTTCAAATATTTTTTGTAGATTAAGTTTTCTTTAAAAAGAACTCTACTTAAAGAAAAATTAATTTTTTAAGTTAAAATTTTTCTTTTTAATTAAACATTTTTTTGGAAAAATTAATCTTTTAAATTAAATAATTTTCTTTTTAATAAAACATTTTTTTAAAGATTAATTTTTCTTTATGAAGAGTTCTTCATAAATAAAAATGAATCTTTAAAAAATGTCAGTATACACAATAAAATTAAAGAGAAAGATATTTTTAAAATTTTAGGAGCAATTTTAAATTTTTAAGCTAGAGATAATTATAATTTAAGAAAACAGAAAAAAATGGTAATTTGTCACTTTTTTTTTTTGGTTTGAAAAGTAATAATAAACCCAAAGTTAGAATGTAATTGTTAGTTTTATTAGTATTCGACAATTTTTGGAATAAGAAAAAATGGATTTTGTAACATGAATAGAATTATGGTGATATTTTTTTGGAATTTGCACTGAGCACAGGAGAAAAATTTTCTTTTATCGATACTGCAATAGAAAAGACACGATGATCAGAACGATGATCTTTAATGCCCTTTATCCAGGACTATTTTCGTATCGAGCTATTTAGTGTCTACAGAACTCTCGTTATACACTTTGGTTCGTACATTTGGCACTAACGTTTCTTAATGGTCACTGAACTTGTGTGCTTCACATATTTCCGGGCACTTTTCTTCATGACAATTTTCACATCTCGCTAAACAGTTTATCCGTTTTTTTCATTTTCTCCTTTCGCACAATTTTTATTTGAAAATGGTTCTGCAAATTTTTATAGGTCTTCTTAATTGTAAAAGTGTTTTCTTCTTATGCTTCTTTGTCTTCTTCTTCTTGTTTTTCTTCTTCTTCTTTTACTTCTTCTTTTTCTATTTCTTCTTTTTCTATCTAAGAGCTGTATTCTATTTGGAATAAGTTTTTTTTTCTTGTATTCAAAATTTTTTCTTTACTGAAATTAGTATTCTTTTTGTTGAAAGTATTCTTTACTGAAATTAGTATTCTTTTTGTTGAAAGTATTCTTTACTGAAATTAGTATTCTTTTTGTTGAAAGTATTCTTTACTAAAATTAGTATTCTTTTTGTTGAAAGTATTCTTTATTGATAAAAGAATTCTTTTCGCTAAAAATATCCTTTTTGATGAACGTATTCTTTTTTGTGAAAGTATTCCTTTTGATAAAATTTTTCTTCCTCTAAAAGTATTCTTGTTGATAGAATTATCCTTCTTCTAAAAGTATTCTTTCGTTGTAAATATTCTTTTTATTTTTTGATGAAAGTATTCTTTTTGATGGAAGTATTGACGAAAGTATTCTCTTTGCTAAAAGTATTCTTCTTGTTGAAAGTATTGAGAAAAGTATTCTTTTTGCTAAAAGTATTGACGAAAGTCTTTTTTTGATGAAAGTATTGATGAAAGTTTTCTTTTTGAAGAATGTATTCTTTCTGCTAAAAGTATTCTTTTTGACGGAAATATTCTTCCTGCAGAAGTTCTTTTCTCCTCCAAAAATGTTCATTTTTAAAAATTCTTTTTGTGGAAACTTTTTTTGATCTCTTCCTTTTTTTGAAGACTTTCCTCAAGATTTTTGAGAATCTCTTTCCTCCCGATTCGCCGTTGGCACAAATTTTTACTCGCACAGTTTGAATTTTGATTTTGAAAATTAGTAGGTTTTTTGGAAATGTTAGAGTCTAGTGAATTTATAATTTGTTAATATTTTTTTATGGATTAAAAGAGAAGTTTGGAAGGTTGAGAAAAAACCTACCTCGAGCCTGGAGAGAGCACTCAGGTCGGCGCTATACTCAATGCTGACATCGGCCGCTCCACCACCACTGCTCGAGCGGTATGAATATTTGGAGGTTTTTGCTACAGCAGAAGCCGACATTTTTTTAATCAACGAATTTTCCTCTTTTCTTCAATAATCGAAGTTGTTTATTTTATCTTCAATTCTCGAAGAATTCCCTCTTCGTTGCTTAATTTTAAACTCGCACTACTTGTCGAGAAATGTTTTTTTTTTTTTATTATTGAGTTCAGAGAAAACAAAAACACTCGCGTTTATCAATGAACAACGGCGAAATGATTCGTTTTTATTTAAAGGGATTTTTAACGTGTTTCTTTTTTTTTTAAATGTCGTTCTTTTTCGTGTGGTGACTTCTTGTGGGGTTCGGAGCCGACCAGCGCCCTACTCGTAGTGCGCGACTCGTCGTCGTTCGTATGGCGCATCAACCATCCGGTGAATCCGTCAAAATGACGATAGAACGCATGCGCACACGATCTATGATAATTATTTTGTCGGGGGAAAATTGATCTCCCCACTATTCGCGCCATCGTTGATGGAAAATGAACATGAGGGAGGGCGTGAGTTTATTTCCAAACGAACTGCTATTGCGAAATGGTTTATATCGGTTTTGACACGTCGTTTTTTTTCTGAATGCGTAGGTGTTTCAATGACTTTCTCCCCTCGTTTAGGTACCAATTTTACTTTTCATCCGTTGCAACGACTTTTCATCCTCACATCATTTACGATTTGTCATTTTATGGTTTTAATGTTTATTTTTCTTGTACTTCTTGTCTTTTCTTGTAATCAGACAAGTCATAGTTTCGGGGAATCAGGGAAACTTCAATTGATTAGGAAAAAGTCGGGATATATAAAAAATACTGGAAAAGTATGAAAATTTCTAGAATTGTCTGCTAATTCTAATAATTTGTTTACTAATTTTAAAAATCGGAGTACTTTCTAGTGTACTTTTGTAAGTTAAACAAGATCTAAGGTCCCTAAATTGGATAAACTTGAGGATTTTGAGAAAAATGAGATTAAAGACTCAAGAAACAGATTTTAGGCGTCTTTACCCCTAATTTTCTCAAAATCCTGACGTGCCAGACAAATTTAGGACCCAAAATCTTGTTTATTGGACAAAAATACATTGAAAACTACTCCAATATTAAAATAAATACAAAAATTTTTCTTTTGGGTTTTTACCCCCCCACTTTTCTCGAAATATTGACGTGTTAGCAAATTTTTAAACCTTTGATCGCGTTTAGTGGATAAAAATACATTGAAAATCACTCCAATATCAAAATTAACAAACAAAAAATTTTTTGGGTCTTTTTACCCCCTCTTTTCTCAAAATCCTGACATGCTGGTTAATTTTGAGACCCAGAATCGTGTTTACCAGACAAAAATACATTGAAAACCACTCCTATATCAAAAATAATAAACAAAACAATTTTTTTGAGTCTCTACCCCCACTTTTTTGAAAATCCTGACGTGCTGGGCAATTTTGAGATCCAGGATCGTGTTTATCAGACAAAAATACATTGAAAACCACTCCCATATCAAATATAACAAACCAAAAAAAAGTTTTTGAGTCTCTACCCCCACTTTTCTCAAAATTCAACAAATTTTTTTTTGGTCTTGCGCACATTGGTCTTTAAAGTACAGTTTTCAAATTCTAATTTAAAATCTCATGAAAGTCTCTAGCACGTCAGATTAAAGAGAAAACATATATTGGAAACCATTAAAAAAATACTTTTTTTTCGGTTTCTACCCACACTTTTCTCAAAATCCAAACGTGTTACGAAATTTTCGGACCCTGGATGGTGTCCAGTGGACAAAAATACATTGAAAATCACTCCCATGTCGAAAATAACAAACGTAAAATTTTTTTGATTTCTCTACCCCCACTTTTCTCAAAATCCTCTATATTTTTTTGGGTCACAAAATGCACATTTTAATTTTTTTCCTTGCAGTTTTTGAGTAAAAAAAAATACTGTTTTTCGATATCCAGCGACCTTTAAAAAATACAAAATCATTTATTTCTTTTTTGAATTTTTTTATTTACTTTAAAAACTTTTAAATCACCGCGACAATTTTTTAAAAAAAGTTTAAACATTTCTTTTCGACTTCTGACAATAACAATTGAATTTTAAAGAATACAATTGAATTTATTTTTAATAATATTTGAATCAGTATTTAAATCAAGAATAGAATCAATCAGCGACCAATATCAAATTAATTATTTTTAACTTAATTCTGAATTACGAAGTGTGTTTGGTTATTTGAATTAAAAAATTTGAATTAAAAAAAAAAATTGAAAATAATTTTCAATTTTTTTTTTTCTATAATTATTATAGAATTTACAGATATTTACTGAAAATTGATAGTGAAGCTAACTAGACAAAACTAATTTGTCTTGTTAGATGCATTGTTAAATTTGCAAATATCAAACGTCAACGAATTGTTACCAAAAATGTCGATCATATAATTTTCAAAATAAATTATGTTTTCAAAAAACTTAGATATTTTTATAAGATCTGCAGGAATATAATTTTTTTCTTTTTCTCATTTCAGGAAAATATCGTCATACCAGTAAACACAAGGCATAAATAAATTTTCCAATGTCTGGGTAAATTGCTAGAGAATGAACAGATATTTACCATTAAAAATAGTAGTTTTCCGTTAAAAATAGAGGAAGAATTATTTCGAACAGATGGTATATCTTGGAAAAATTTACAATGAAGAATCAGCCTTTTTAAGGTAAGATTTTCTTTATATGATATCTGCACAAAATTTATTAAAATTTTTTTTTTACTTTTTCTCTTAACTACAATGTTTTAAAATCAAATTTGTTTTTATTTTCGTTTTCCGTTAATTATTAATATTTTTTGTCTCCTTAGTTTGTAACTTGCTTTAAATTTTCAATCAAAATCTTTATTACAACGCTACTTTTATTTTAAAATTTCATTTATTTCAATGTAAACGAAGTAAAATTTAAAAAATTAGTAAAATTAACTTGTGTCTTAGCAAAATTTCCTTCAAGAATAGTAAAATTTAATATTAAAAATTGTTATTTCCAGAATTACTTTGACTATTTTCAAAGATAATTTTGTTTTTATAAAAATTATAAATTTACTTTAAAAATAGTACGTATAAAATTTACTCAAAAATAATATTTAATAGCTAATTGTAATGTTGGAAGAAAAATTGAATAATTTTTATATAAAAAAATTAACATTAAAAATAGTAAATTTTGCTAAATTAAAATTCGTTATTTTCAGATTAAATAAAAACCAGAGATCCAGATTAAAATACCCAGAGAAAAATATTATTTATACCAAATATATAATCTTATTTGACTTGAATTAACGTATATTTGTCTCAGAACTAACTAGACTTTTTATTTGTTTTAAATAAAATTTTTATTTATTTGAGCCAAATAAAATATTATTTAAATAAAATAAAATTTATTTGAAACAAATAAAAATTTGGTTCTGAGCCAAATATGCCATTTCTCTGGGTGTAGTATAAATTTTATTGAAAATTAGTAAAATATACTTTGAATTTAGTAAAATTTATTCTGGAAGAAAATACAATTTGTCAAAAATTCCAAACTCTGTGGATTTTTCTTAGAAGAAAAAGTTATTTTATATTTGTTAGGTTTTTTGAATTAATTTCTAAGTTTAAAGACTCTGAGAAATAATAGATTTTTAAGTTTCAAAAATTTAAAGTTATTCCAAAGTTTGCGAAAAGTAAAAATTATTTTCTTTGAGCATAAATAAAAATTTTTCTAACTTACAAAAAATGACAAGTTTTTTTTTTAAATTAGGGGAAAGGGGGAAAAGTGTACGATTTTAGGTATTTTAGGGGATTTTAAAAAATTTAAGGGGAAAAAAATGGTCGACTAATATTTTTGACCCAAGAATAGTTGAAATTTGTTTATATACAAATAAGTATGTTAGTGTTTCGTGGAGGCTATTTTATACTACTGATTCATGCCTTAACCGAACCATATGCTTTTGTGTAGCTACGGCATACCGTGGCTGCCTGCAGGTTTACATGTTCTCCTGAATGATGATCTCATTCCCAACTCTTATTTACATTAGGAAAACTTTTGCAAATTTATCCATAAAACATAATTTAAAAAAAAACAAAATTATAATCGAATATAATATCGAATGCAATAATTTCTAAATGACTTTTAATATTTTGTAAATTAACTATTTCTTGATGAACATTCAATATTATCTTTTACCTCTTTATATATTTAATGCGCTTGACCTCCGTTGTAACGCCAGGCATTCTTGTAGTTGCCGTCGATGGTACCGTGAACGATAGAATGTTGAATGAAGTGAACGTCGTGCATCTTGTTTTATGTTGGAAAACAATTTGGTATTTTCAAAAAGAATTTAGCATCATTCTCTAAACTTGTTACGCATTATAGATTTTCCTATCGAAATGTTTTTTTTAAATTTTACTCTATAGATATTTAATTAATTAAATTTTTTTCGAAAAGGGAACATTTTTTCTTCTTATTAATAAAAATATTTTTCTACTTTTTGATTTTCCAACTATGTTCTATTTAGCGTAGTTTGCGAGTAAAAGTCATTTTTATTTATTTGAAAATTTTCAACACATTATAACTTTCGAGAGTTTCAACACTTATTTTATGAAAGCTGAAAATATCTCCAAACATTTATGGAATACTCATAAGTTTAATGTTTACAACTTAAACAACTGTTCGTTATATGTTACAAGGATAAATTTCTTTGTTCTCTGAAATCGTGCTGTTTAAATTTAAAAACTGATTTTAATTTTGGAAACATGGAGAATTTCATAAAGTCTTTCCGTTTGTAATATATTTTCAGCCTCTTCTTTTGTTTAGAATTCGTTATTAAATTAACAATTTATAATTTTTCACATAGATTTCAGTTGTAATTAAATAATTTTTCGGAAATTTAAAATACCGGTAAGGGGAATTAAAAAATATTTCTAACACAAAAATGGTTGTATAAAATTATTTTCATTGGTCTTTTTTTTAGAGAATTGCTAGAAGAAATGTTTAAAGTGTCAAAATCGTGGTTTTCATGAGATTTTCAGCGCCTCCTACCTTGCCCCACTACCTAAGTCTGTCTATAAAAGGTCGCCGGACCGTAGACATGTACGCCGTCCTGGCTAAAGCCCACCAAGTAATTTGAGATTGCTCCCTCTGTTCGAGCTTTCCTCCTTAACTTCGTTTCTTCTCTTTCTCTTTTTTCCCTACTATCTTCCTTTGCACTGTGGCTCACTCTGGTGAAAAATTCCAAACACCACTATTACTAACTTCGACGAGAATAACTTATCGCATTTGCGGTTCCTTACTACCCACATATATCATATCATAAGGATGTCCGAGATTTTTCAGGAACTCGGATCATTTTTATATATGCGTATATATTTGCAAAAACTG